TATGTAACGATAATTTTCGCAAACTAGACAACTAACCAAATAAATTACGCGCAACCAATATATATACGATATGCAAATAAATATAACAAGTACAAAACTGGTAACTGACAAAGGACACTAATGAAGACGAGAAAATAAACACCTAACACGAAACTATGAAACACCAACACTAACAAAAAATGATAATACAAATTCTTGCGCCTACAACATGAGCGGTTGCCGGGAAAATTCTCCTAGGGAATTCGCTCAGGTCCGAGATTATGACACCTTCCTGATTTATAAACTTTTATTCGAAAATACGTTTTTCTCAATAAATCGGGTGCTTCTAAAGATCTTTAAAAATCTTTTTATGGAAACGTTTGGTTGAATGTTTGAATTCAATTTAGTCAAATAAAAGAAATATCGAATTTTTTTTCGGCCTCTGAAGGTGGGAAGTAACCTTGATGCACTCTTTAAGACTAACTTATATATAGGTCTCTTACACATCAGTGTCTCAATAGTTTTCGCTATCAAACGAAAGCCAAACCCAATGTAGAAAATCTGTTTCGTTTATAAATTTCAAGTAACAACTTTTCTCTTTTGCCCCCTATGCATTCTTTTTGTATTCACACGCGGCGAATTTCTTTGCGATCAGTCGTTCTTTTCGGGGAGGAACACAGTGGGCACCACCACCACCCAAGAACGCTTAATCGTAGAATGGTTCTAGATTAAATATGGCTGAATTCAATGAAGGACTGGGCCTACTTGCTCAAAGAGCGGATAACGCTATCTAACGGATAGATCGGTACCCAACGGGGTAAGAGTTGACAAAACGCACTACGCTATCCACTGTATGAAGTTTCATCCCGTGGATAGCTTTATCCACCCTTTGTACAACTAGGACCAGATAAATAGGTCATGCACCATTTTCCTGAAACCCCTTCACCAACCCAAAGTACATCAGAAAACGCAACACATCTTCCAAAAACCATGAAAAAAATAAGTATTTTTAATGTTTCTGGAGATTTCTATTCGTTATCTTGAAATATACATTCTATTTACTTTAACCCGGATCAACCGGTCTCAGGTTACATTTATCTGGCACAACGGCATATGTTTGTCTAGTCGTATGACATGGCAAAGTGAAGTCTGTGTATGGGAGTAAAGAAAATGCCAAAAACTGTTACTACTTTTCGGGGACTGGAGCCTACGCCTTATGAGGCCCGGCCCTTTCTACGAAGTAAAGGTCACCGTAAGTACATCGGTGGAATTAACTGCAAGCAAAATAACGTTGTTTACGCTAAGTTCCAGTCTCCCTTAGGAAATCTAACTCTGGCGTTTATACACTGGTAAATTTGATCGTTATTATCACCTGAAACTGGCCTCTCTCTCTGTTACTCGCCTACAGTCGCCATAATAACGCGAGCAGCCAACACGGCGCAAAGTGTGATGGGTAAGAAGAGAACCCTTCCCATCACCCCATATTTTCTTATTGCACTTGCACGTTAATTAGCTTCAAATCCGAAGAAATCCGTCAACTTAAGATAAGGTTGGATCGACAGATTCGATCATTAGTTTATTGCGTGACGGTGACCGTTGCAGAAAATTCCAAAGAGGCTCCGAAATGTTACCTAAAAATAGCTAGTTACAAAATAACTCTGGCATTTTTAGATGGTGTTGTGTTTTAAAATGAACTTTAGGCTTCAATGATTTTAAGCTATTTTTCCCCTCTTAGTTTCTCATAAGACTTCGTTTATGCATATGGAAGAGAGAAGATTACAAATCGAACTAGTTAATAAAACAACTTCACATGAAATACGTTTAAAACTACAACTGCTGTAACTCGGTATTCGATTTATTGTAATGTTACAAAATAACAGTGCAAAAAGTTTACCCTTCAGTGGAACAAACACCGACAACCCCACCCCCTTCCAGGATTAATAACAGTAAAGTTTGCTTACGAGAGCAACTTCTTCAAGTCTTTTCCTGTAATATTCAACAGTAAAGAAATTCAGTTTGACTATCTTTTAAAAGGAAAGGTCAACTTTCTTAGTTCTCCATTAAACAACAAGTAAACATTGAATACGGGTTAACTTTGAAAGCAACTGGGTGCCTTCTAATTTTGGACAGAAGTCAGCGCAGTTTTTACCACAGGCAAGAAATCTGACTTAAGTGAAATAACATTAATGTGAATTCTTTGCTCTAGGTCGCCGATAAACATTTTCAATTACATCTTGGTCGGCATCGTCTTGTAAGTGTTTAATGAGCGAAAAACTAATATTAAGTCACCATCTAAAGGGCTTCGTAAATAGTATAGTGACTTTTCTATATTTTGCGATACATACGAGCTCTGAAAATTCTTAAGTTGCGATACACTGTCTACCAATGAATTTTCTAGCAGGCCAAACATAGTTCTATAAGTATTTTTTTTTCAGTTCACCGCTGAGTGTACCGTAGACTCGCCTTCTCTCCCTCCCATCCTTGGTCTACCCACGGGGTCTCCCTCAGATGGAGCCCTTTCCAAGGGTATTCTGCATGATATGAGCTGGCACTGTATTTGCTCGATTTAATGGCGGGGCCTGTCTGGTCTGCCGACGTGATGGCACTGAATAAATTAAACAAAAGCAAAGAAAGAAAGACAGTAAAACCTGTTAACATTGTAATAAAAACTTCCTTATGTCCGTAGGTCTACCATTGTAAAGCTAAGGAGCTTTATGTAAAGCAGGAAAGTTGTAACGATATTAGCTTTACTTATTGTAGTGTAACATAACCGCCATGTCTTTTTGTTAGGCAAGTAGCCCAGTGTAATATCAGTACTGTCAGAAATGGTCTGTAGTTCTAGCGAAACGAAAATTGTACCTAGTTAAAGGGTGGTTAAGTCTCGGTTCGATCGAAGAAAGTTTCATTACTCATGTAAGCCAAAAATGCTCTTCCCCACAACAATTAACTACTCTTTTCATAGCATAGAAAGATTCAGTCTTAAAGTAAGTTATATAGAAGCCAAGGTAAAATATGCAAGACACATTTTGAGGAGATAGTTTCCTAGCTAGCTTAGTGTTACGTGTAATTTGCTGTTGTTGTTGTCTTTTGTTTTATGTGAACAACAAGGAAACAGACTGGTAGCGCTCATATTGTAATGGACTCTGTCTCGTAAGCAGACACTCTAGTGGCTGATAAACGAAGCAAACACTCTGGGGCTCCATACACTAACGTATGTGGGTTTCGCCAAATAAAAAAATAAAAAACTTAGCATTTTTAACCTCCCAAAAGCGAAGCCCCTGTCACTCTACTTGGCGTACCCTTATAGAATTCGACGCTTTTTTCGCATGTATGAGGTAACCGCGGCTTGTGTTGGAAAAAAAAATCAGAACATACCTGGTCGAATGTTTTGGTATGGAAGAGATTTCAATGACGAGCTTCTTTCGTCTCTCGTTGGTACATTTTCATATCCATGGGCACGTGACGGAATTCTCGGTGGGAGTGCTGGAGGATCTTCCTCATCCTTTGGGGGAAGATTCTCGTACCCCTGGGATGTAGACTGTCTTGGAGGCAAGGGTTCCGGCTCTTTCTCGGGAATATTCTCATATCCAGGGTGTTTTACAACCGGTTGTCTAGGAGGTATAACAGGAGCACCTGATGGGACAAAGAAACATTTCAGAGAGCATAATATAAATCCATAGAGATGGCCTGAACCTCGGAAATAAATTGAGAGTGGATCATTAGAGATTGGTTTCAGTTTACATCTGATTGGTCAACAGGGAGACGTGAGTTTTGCAGATCAATCACAGAGCAAAGTAAATCATAACCGTTGTAATTCCGGATTAACCCTTTAACTCCCAGTTCAAATTTGTAATTCTCCTTACTGTCAACCATACAACTCTTATAATGTTAGTTCAGAGAATTTAGCATTGGATCAACTAATTATCCCCAAAGTGATAGTTGTCCTTATTCTCATCACTTATCTAGTTGATATTGTATGGATATTGTAAGGAGAAATTCTGTCTTGGTCACTCATGTGAGATAAAGGGTTAAGTTTGGCACTCGCTTGAAAATTGTTTCATTCGGTAATTCTTAACGATAATGAATTATTGCAAATCACTGTTGAGCACAAACCTTTTGGATCCATTGACTCATAACCAGGGATTGTTGCACTTCTACCTGCAATTTCAAAGGTGTCAAAAATACGTTTCTTAAAAAATAAGATGAAAATTTACATCAAGAACGGAATTTCGGGGAAAAAAAATCAAACTAGTCTGATTTTTCATCTCCTATCTGTCAGAAGGATTACCAAGACAGAGAATTACAATTCAAGCTAGTTGACTACAAGTTCATTTTGATCTGCCACAAGTAGATCGGCCGTACTCAGTTGGATGCAAGAGTAGGTAATTGTGAAAAACAACTCCCTGAAAAAAACTTGTTAAAAAGTACAGTCAAAGTTTTGTTTTGGACGTTCATTCTCGGGTAAATCGCCATAAAATACCATAAAACTTCTAGTAATGGCTTCTAGCCAGTCGGTTATCTGTCGGTGGCCTGTCGGTCATATGTCGGTGGCTTGTCAGTTATTCGTCAGTGGCTTGTCGGTTACATGTCGGTGGCTTGTTGGTTATAAGTCGGTAGCCTGTCAATTATATGTCAGTGGCCTGTCGGTTTTATGTCGGTGGCCCGTCAGTTACATGTCGTGGCCTGTTGGTTATCTGTAGGCCAACACTTGGGCCGATGGTCAGTGGAGGGGAGCTGTTCTTCACAATGTTAATGTTACTTTTGTGATAATCCAGGTGAGAGTAATCCTACTGTTTTCGTCCAAAATTATGACAAATTGAGTGGAAATCTGTGTGGGCGTAAGTACTGTTAATAACTGCCAACATTCCATTTAAGGATTACCTACACCTCAGACGGTCACAAAACATGATCAACGTACTTTTGTTGGGTATGTTCTCATAGCCATGCCCATGAGTCCTGAACAGATCAGGTGATGTTACACGACTTCTCAGGGGAGGCTTACCTGAGAGATAATAAAATGAAAGAAATTAAAGTCTCTCTCAACAGGCAGTTGTTAATTCAATCTATTTCCATTTCACTATAAAGCGCTAATTTGCGATGAAATATAACACAACTACAGTGTGATTTCCTTCCGTCGCCTTTTACCGTACCTAAAATCAGCGCTAGGGGTATAGCACTCTTCTGCAGTCGCATTAATTTTCACTGAGGTTTTCGATCCAGACGGCCGACAGGTCTCAAAATCAGTCTATGTTTCCCCTGATTGCCACTTTTCAAAACGGTATCCAGTCAATTCGCCACCACAAAACTCGCCGCCACTGAGAGTCAAATCACCACCGGTGGCGATTTGACTTTTTCGTTATGTGAAGCCTGTCGCGTGAAACTCACATTAAATTAAAGCTAAGATGTAATAGTATATTGCGAAAGGGAAAGGGACTCAGAAGTTATGAGACGCCTCTCAGTTATGGAACGTTAACAGTTAAATGAAATAAAACTTGTTAATATCACGAAGATTATAATCAGTTTACGTAAAGCAAAACCTGAGTGAATATACTACGACATCATAGCTTTCTGTTGATGTAAGTTTTATACGACAGCCTACACATAACGTTTAAGTCAAATCGCCACTGATGGCGATTTGACTCTCAGTAGTGGCGAGTTTTGTGGTGGCGAATTGACCGTAAACCTTCAAAACTATTCGTTAACTTTGTTTTGACGAGGGTCAACATGGGTATTAAAAGAGATATAAAAAAATATTTATTAAAGTTGCCCTCTAAATTTCAAAATCTTGATCATTTCCTTTTCGTTTTGAAAGAAGGATTTGATGGTACATCAGGAAAACAACTTCTAACTGACCAGCCTGTTTTTATCTTATTTCTCTTAGCTATGCCATGATTGATCCATTTAGCGGGCCGTATTTCACTATACGGCTCAATAAATACAAAAATTTGTTTTAATTAAAAATATTCTCCCTGTATTTAAACCCACAGATAAAATAATATCTTATTAACCTCGTCTTCTTGGTTTGTACTGCAAGTTATGGAACCTCGTTTTTTTCCACTCGGTTTTATGGGCAAATCCGAGCGAAAAAACCTCGATCCGTAACCTTCACCACGGAACAAGAACGAGTTTAATAAGAGGTATTAAAACTCATTAGGTAAAGATGAACTGAAATTACAAATATAAGTTACATCTTGACCAGTAAGTTCAATGAGTTGCACGACTGGATTCTATCCTTGTATTTTTGATTTAACCATCTAGATTTGTTCAAAAACTCATTCTTACTTACTTGGTATGTTTTCATAGGAATGTTTCACTGGTCCTCCTAGGGATAACAAAAGAAAATAAGATGCATCATAAAGAAACAAAATATTAATGTTTTTCAAAAACTTTCAAAAATAATTGGCACATGTAGACGTAGCACTTACTGGTTTCCACTGACCCATTTAGGTCCGCTCCCTCTTCACAACCTGGTGGGGCAGGCCGAGCTGATACAGTAATAACATTAGTAAGTAAAGGTGCAGTGCAGGAAAGTTACAGTTACAAATAAGCAAATCTTCTGCAAGTAACTTTTTTAATTTTAAAGAAGTGCACCCTGTGGATGTGCACCCCAACCTCATACCCTGGTTTTTACAGACAACTAATTCAATCACATGCATTGCACTGATTAACCCTTAAACTCCCAAGATGTGATTCTTAATTCTCCTCTCTAGCAGCCACACATCTCCTTACAGGTAAGTTTCCAGAATTTGGTGTTAGATCAAGATAACAACTTCTACCTGAAAAGTTTGCTTAGGGTTCTTGCTTGCTAGATAATGTAAGGATATCAGTGAGATAGAGGTTTACATGTGGCATGGCAGTATTTGAATTGCAAATTTATGCCATACTTTTTCTTTAAGATTTGTGATCATGTTAGGTTTGGAAAAATAACATCAAACATCGATGAGAAGTGAAAAAATTATCAACTTAGGGATATTGCTTGATCAACCAGCAAATTCTCAGTTCTAAGAATGTAAGTAATGAGTGACAAACAGTGTGGAGAATTAACCTTGAGATCTTAGGAGTGAAAGGTGAACTGAGAAAAATGAAGTAACAGTCACTCTCAAACAATGCTTCTGTCACAACCAAACTCAAAAAGGGGCCACCAGCTGGGCTGGTTGCTCAAAGCTGGGTTAAGATAACCTAGGGTTACTGCAAAATTTCATTTCAGATCTGAAAGCTTTAAAAGAAAATTCAGTTTCATTCTTTTTGTCTACAATTTGATAATTAGATGCTCTAAGAACAATAAAGAAAATTATCCCAAAACAACTTTTGAACAGAGAAATATAGCAACCTGGATTAAAATTCAACCTCGGGTTATCACTAATCAGCCCTCAAATAATTAGACTTGTTTTTAACGAGGAACAATAATCAGCAAGATACAATTTTTTTCATACATTTCAATTTGAAAACTAAATTTTAAAGGTAGTGTACTCACCACCCATTAGTTCATAACCTTTCATGGCATTTTGTTCATCATCATTACTTGTACCTAGAAGTTAAAAAATATATCTAGTGTCAATCATTATTAATACATGGTTACATGGTTAGTTACAATTTTACCAATCACGTAGATAATTCTGATCTTCTTTAGTTATTGGTGTCACTTCCATTTGCTTCTTTGAAGTTTGAAGTTTATTAATTCATAACTACATAGCAGTTCAAAAACTGAATAGGCCATTTTACAGTTGTGTACTTAGTTGCCAAGCCTTTGATTTGGAGTGAGGCTGAAGGTGACCTTGTTGTGATAGAGACCAGTATCTTGTTAACATGATAACAAAGTAATTTGCATTTGAAAAGCAGTAAGGTTTGTATCATGACAAGGTCACCTTTAGCCTCATTCCTGTTCAAAGGCTTGGCAACCAAGCACACAACTGTAAAATGGACTATTGCCTATTTACAGAACAAAAATTAAATTATACAAATCTAATAATTAAATGATCCATCTTAAATAAAAAAATGACATACCAGGCATACATTAAGATAATTAAGTCATTTTGCCACTCTTCTCTAATATTCTGAAAACTTTTGAGGGGCTGTACTCAGCAGCTTCACAGTTTCTTCTAAGTCTATCATTATTCCTTGTTTCTATGAAAATTTGTTTACTCATCAGTAAACATTAATATTAAGAGAGAGAGTTGCCTTACATGAAACTCAAGTTTTATTTACTACACAATCATTGGCATGTGAAACTCCAGTTACTTTCTATCTTTACATCTACATTTATATTTCATTCAGCATATTAATGCATAGAGCACCCCTGGAGTAAGTGAAACAGCTTACATACTTTATATTATTTTAATTACAAGGCTGTATATAGTATTACAGGACTGTAATTACCACAAATCACTGGTTTCATGATGATATCTTGTTCCTGACTTTTTGTAAAGTACTTCATAAGAGTTGCAAGATTAGGGAAAGGTTTATCCTACAAAAAGATTTAATGAAAAGAAACTCAAAAATGATCCGGTTGTGTAATGATAAAAAAGAACTTAAAATAAGTCACACATGATAAGCTATATACTGCAAGTATGAAAACGTGCAGTTTAATCCAACTTGATGGAGTTGATAACAAGGAGTCTTTCCTTGGAAGTTGGCTTTGATTGGCATAATGGTCTATGAGCGTCTGGAAGATATGATTACTAGACTACTATATGATTGCTTTACATTCCAGAATTAAATCATTTCCTCCAAAAATTCTGTCCTCAATGTATGAAAATCAAGACTCAAGACTTAAGCCTTCCTTCCATCTCTACTGCTGTGATGGATGGACTCCTTCTTTCCCTTTCCGACAGGAACTGAGGGGTTGCTGTAAGATGCTCACCATGGGCTGTTCCCAGTGACAATAGGAGCAGGCTGCTGATGTCACACATAAGCCCTCCGCTTCATGAAGGATCTCTTTAATATGCTTGTTATAAAATTGGACTTAAATTCTAACGAGACTTCTCTAAACTCACCTCATGTCCTTTAATAACAAGGTTTCCATCAGCTACTGTTTCAATTTTGTGGTGTCGGAATTTATCTCTGTGTCTATAAAAAAATTAGCAAGAATGAATTTTTTTAGTTGTGTAATAACACTATTCTTACATATCTGCTGATTTTCCATGGATAGGAAAAGCATTGTTTTTTAAGTTTTATGGCAACAGACGATGCAGTAACATTTACTTATTCTAGAGCAAACTTATCAGTTTCTAAAGCAACAGCTACACTTATAGGCATGTAAAACTTATAGACTGGGTTCATAAAGGTAAAACAACGGCAGTGACAATAAATTCTGAAAAGCTTAAAAATGTTGAGATTTTCTGACAGTGCTTTTTTCAGTGTTTCAAACAATTTAAATGACTCAAAGCTGACACAAAAGCAACTTACTTCAATGAGAGGGTGTATGCACCAAGCTTACGAACTGTTTCACTTTCTCGCACTAAAAAGCTCCCTTCAGGATGAGGTTGGAGGACTTCTTCAGCTTTTTCTCTCGTGAGCTTACCAAAAAACCAGCTGTGGAAGTAATTGAAGAGTCAGCAAATTACTTAAAATTTGTCAAAACAGCTGGCATAAGCAATGCCATTCTTAGAATCAAAAGGATGATTGTTTAGGAGTGTCAGCAAGCATGACAGGCCCATAAAATTATGATCACACTCCTGATTAGTATTTTTAAGGTCATAACTTATCTAGATGAGAGAATGCCCAAAAAAATTGGTGAGCTATTTAAATCGATCATTAGGATAATGAAGTTGGCAATTAAGGCTATAGTGTGTGATCAGGAGTGTTGGCTGTGAAAATGTGTAAAATATATCTGGGACATAAAACTGGGTGAACCTGTACATTGAACATATACTTACGGAGGTTTGTTATCTGGAAATTCATCATAAAAAGCTTCTGGAGTGGCATCTGCTCCTAATGATTCAGGTCTAGGTGGCTCCTGATTACAAAACGTAAAATTCACAAGTTAGTAATAACCCTTTACATCCTGACATCTGTATGCATATTCTCCAAACTGTTTCCTATACATTTCCAAAGGTGATGACAAGGAAAATTTGTTTGATAATCAAGAGCTATTTTAGTTGCATAGTGATCATTAATTTTCCTTTATTCTCATGACCTTAATGTTTGATTCAGGGTGATATTGTAAGGAGAAATTAGATGCTAGTCACTCTTAGGGGTCAAAGGGTTCAAGAGCTTCTTCAGTTGGTGATCATTTCCTTTATTCTCATGACCTTAATGTTTGATTCAAGGATGATATTGTAAGGAGAAATTAGATGCTAGTCACTCAAAGGTGTCAAAGGGTTCAAGAGCTTCTTCAGTTGGTGATCATTTCCTTTATTCTCATGACCTTAATGTTTGACTCAGGGTGATATTGTAAGGAGAAATTAGATGCTAGTCACTCAAAGGTGTCAAATTGAGAATTATTAAGAATTAATTGCATTTTTAATTCACTTTGAGTACAGTCAAAGGTCAATTTTCCTATATGACTATGCAACCTGGACCAAACATGAGTGAGGCTAAAGCTGGGTGACCTTGTTGTGATACACAGTCTGCTTTTCAAATGTAAATTACTTTGTCATCATACAAACTAGATACTGGTCTCTATCACAACATGGTCACCTTGAGCCTCACTGCAAATGAAAGGCTTAGCAACTGAGTACACAATTACTTTAAAATGGCCTATTTTCATCAAGTAAAGAGTAGCAAGGAGAGATCTCAGAAACCTGATTAACTTGGTTTTCTGGGTTAAAAATGAAGAGACCCTTATTTCCTCCACTGTTTTCACATACCTTTGACTTCCCTTACCTCTGCGTCAGCAGTTTTGTCTTTCAGCTTCTCTTTAATTCCTAGCAGCTTTTTGCAATGGCTGCTGAATGAATGGTGCTTTCCTTTGCCCAAAATTGTTTTCTGCATTTCTTCATCCGTTACGCGAGGAACAACATCTGGACTTATGTTAAAAATTGGTACTACAATGTATATAAAAAAGAACACAAAATATTATTCAGAATCTGTACCTTTGAGTGTTTGGCCACACAGCATTTATAAGCCCTGGCCTGTCCACATGTTAATTGTTCAAAACACAATCAGTGCTAATTCAGATTTAACTGCCATTAACCCTTTCACTCCCAAGATCTAATTAGTAATTCTCCTTACTATCTGCCATACAATTCTTATGATGTTAGTTCAGAGAATTTGGTATTGGATCAACTAATAATCCCATGATTGATATTCTTCTCTATTCTCATCACCTGCCTGCTTGATATTGTATTGATATTGTAAGGAGAAATTCTGTCTTGGTCACTTGTGGGAGTTAAAGGGTTAAAACATACAGTTTTTTAAAGCATCTTAATTATTCCTTAAACCCCTCTGAAATGATTAACTTGTAACTTCTCCTCACAATAGGCAAGCTTATCAGCAAGAGGGTGTTATGCTGTTGTAACACCAAATTCCCCTGTCTTGTCTAAAAGGAATTGTATAGCAATCTATGGCGAGAAATATTAATTGTATCTTGAGACTAAAAGGGCTATTAAAACCTGGGTTTAAAGTTGGATCAGGTTCCAACAACATGAAATGTATGTGCCACAAAGGTTGAACTATCTTGAATAAACTCCTTACACATGCTGTAACAGCTTGTAATAAACTGATTTTTGTCAGCATTTTATGTTGATGTAAAATGTTGTTGGTTAGCTTTAAAAACTTTTTGGAAATTTTTAACAATGGTGCACAATTATTTTGAGAATGTGCCATAGTTCATGATATTGATTACTACACGGTTTTATTTTTGGCTCAATAATATTCTTTTTCAATTTTCTAAACTCTACAGCAACCCAACTATTCAGCACAGTTCCCACAAGTCAAATAATTGAGATTGGACCGTACCCCTCATTTTTACTTCCTGGTGAGATGCATTGTAAGTGTTAACCCTTTAACTCTCAAGGTCTGATTGTCAGTTCTCCCCTCTAGCTGCTACACATTTCCTTGTAAATTAGTTACAAGAATTTGCTGTTAGATCAAGATAGCAACTTCTACTTGATAAGTTTGAGTACTCTCATTAAAGGGTTAATTGTCTGGCCCAACAATGCAACACAGTGACCAGACTAAGCCTTTTCCCATTGGGTCACCACATCTCTAACTCATTAAAACATAGGAAAACAATCTCAAATGTATTTACTAAATTTGCAAAAAAGCCACAATTGACTCTAATAGGTTTTCTCTGCTTTTGCATACACAATAAAAAATCAAACTAAACCCTTGAAGTAAAAGTGAAATCAAAGGTAAGGTTACCTTCTGTGTACTGGTTTGATATTTTCCTTACGGGAGATTCGTTATTGTTGGTAGGTGAGTTACCAGGTCCTGACTCAAAATCTGTTGATGTCACTGGAGGCTTACCCTGAGCAATCAGAGACAACCACGATGAATACAAAAAGTCAAATACCATGCAAAGATTTTAAAGGTTAAACAAGGAAAACACAACTCAATTTATCTACTACATGTAGAAAACTGAGAATTCTGCAACTAAAATAATTTCTCCTTACCTCTAACATGTAAAATGTATCAAATGCAAGATTCAACACAGCTGTCCTTTGATATAAGAAGCTCAAAATGGATTTTTTAAAAAATAAATTACCCCCAATGATGTAATAAAAATTATAAAATTGTTCCTCTGGAATTGCTCAGACTGAAGTATTCTTTAACTCTTTACAACCTAACATCAGATGAGTATGCATATTCTCTACAATTTTTTTCTTAAATTTCCAATTCTTGTGACCTTAATGTGTAATTCAGGGGTGATATGGTAAGGAGAAATTAGATGCTTGTCACCCTTAAGGGCAAAAAGGGTTAAAATGTAATAATCAGTTACTACCTGTGCAGCAAGTCCTATTGAGTGTACCCACTGAAGACGAAGAAGTTCAGAATTTGTCTAAAAATATGTACAGAAAAGAAGGGACTTTAATATTTCACAGCTGCATGCTGTAGAACTTTTACGCTGTAGAACTTTATGGTTACAAAGACATTCATTTATTTAAACACTGGTGTATAAAACTCTCTCTCAGATAAGCAGTACCTCCAGTTTGTCATCACAAATTTTAGTGTTTATACAGAAATTCTAGTTTCAAGGGGAAAATGCTGACCCTGAATTCTCTGTTAATTATCCTTTAAACCAGTGATTCATGTGGCAGCTAAGTTATAAATGTAGCAGATATTGGAAGCACTTGGAATATTACCACTGAAACTAAGAACTGATGTTAGTGACAAATTAAATTTGCTATACATTAATCACAACTTACAATTAAGCGTAATTTCTTGCTTGTCAACACAGGAATGTGTGCATTTTGTACCTACCCTAAATAAGTACTTCTTGCGGTCTGCTTTGAGTTCAAATTCAAACTTGTCTTTGCTGGTTTTACCACTAGAAAAGCTACAGTTTGCAATATCAATATTGCATTTAATCTGCTAAAAGGAGAGTAATAAAACGTATTTGTGACTGTTATTGTTTATCCATGGGTAGTTTACACAGGCTGATATGATCAGAAATGTATGTTTTGCCATTGACAGTAACCCTTACTGAGGGGGGCATTGGGATTTTCAGTTTTGTGGTTTTGGCTTTTTTTAGATTGGTTTTTCTGTTTTTTGGCTTTGGTGTTTATTGTGGTTTGCAGATTTTCAGTTTTTTAGCATTTGGTTTTCAGTTTTCGCAAAAAATACCAACACATTCTTGGATTTGATATCTGATGTGGTTTTCGGTCTTTCCTATCTGACCTATTTGGGTTCTGGTTTCTCTTCAATCTGAGCAGCAATTACAGGCCTCCACTGATCTTGAATAGCCACTAGATGCAAATGTTATCAAGAGGAATAGGTGACAAACCAATTGAAATATCACAGGGATCCCTAGGTGGCCTATGTGTAGCCATACACTCCCCCTCCCCCAAGGTGGGGGCAGGAGAGGAGGCTATAGCTACATGTAGGGTACAGCTAAGCATGGAACATTGCCAGAGTTTCTTTATCAATGCCACCTTGAAGTTGGTGACCAAGTTACAGGCCACATGTGACTGATTGATTCCAATAGAATCTCCAAACTTTCAGGTCTTAGTTTGCAAATGGAAGTGTTAGATTAGGGATTTTCGATGAGACTTTCCAGAGCTATAGCTTTTTGTGACTGCAAAATTGCAATCCTATTGAGGACTTTCGTGCGAATTTCCTTAATTAAACCAGCTGTGGAGTCCGCAGAGACCACGCTCATGGTCCTTGAGAGAGCAGCTGTTAATTTAAGCAGATACTAGAAAATACGAATGCCAAGTCTATGGCAGTCATAAATCATGTAATGAAATTAGTGTAGTTTACTCTGTACGCTCCACTTGTCACCATTGTAACTAATTGATCAGGGTTTTAATAACTGGGATGTGAAAATGTATCACTTGCGACAGTTTTGCATGTGGTTTTCGGTTTTGATCAAATTTTTTTTGTTTTTTTTACAATTTTGGATAATTTTTCTACAGTTTTGTGGTTTCTAATAGGCCCCAATGCCCCCCTCTTTACTGCAATTAATGATGGAAGGGTACTTGTACTGCTCAGTAGTGAATTAAAACTGCAGTCAAAATGCTCTAAGTCGCAACCATTTTCATCAACATGGTGAGGTGCAATTTTCTATTTTTGGGCTACTAAATTTGGAACAAAAGTTGCCCACTTGGAGGCATATGTTTGGCCACCATGTGCCAAAGATAAAGTCTTTATCAATTAAGTTTTGTTCATGGTCCTAACCCTGGTCATTAATTCTCCCCTCTAGCTGCTAAACATGTGTTGTAAGTTGCAGACTGACTTTTTTTCTTGCTTGGATTTCTGGCCCAACCATAAAGCACACAGGTCATAAATCTGAGCAGAAAAAACACTTGGTCTATAACTTACAGTACAGACCTAGAAAATGAGGTTCATAAGGTACTTATTGTATCTCTGGGTTCATATAGGAGGAGAAGATTTAAATTCAAATAAACCTTTGAATTTAGCAGGCCATACAGTAGTATGGACTACTAAATTGACCAATTCTAGCACATATACTTATTACAAGACATAATAATGAACACCACTTACATTTTCTTTTAAATTTGTGTTTGTGTTTTCATTCTTGAAGAAACACAACTTGAATCCGTGTAATACAACCCAGTAATTTATCCACTGCAAAAATAGTGCAACAAAATTACTGATGTGTACAGTTTTAAAAGTCATACAAAATGTAAAAAAATATGATCTGTTTAGAGTTAAAATTGCACATTCAATTCACTTGTTTTTTGGGGAAAAGCTGACCTACAGGAGCTTTATTTAATTCTGAGTATCTTTAAAAAAATTATCCAGTCATTCCTTATTTCAAATTTGCATTTGCAATATTTTTTATCTGTTCCATCTTCACCCTCAGGCCTTCTTGGTTTACAAAACTAACACTTTTTAGCTGCTTTCAAGTTGAGCATAGTTTTATACTGCACAAAAAACAGCTGAAAGATTATGATGTAGCTCCTGTAATCTGTTGAGCAAACTTTTTCCTAAAGACCCCCTGTACTAGCAATTATGTAGGGTTATGATACTGCCGGATGCAGTCTTAAGTTCCTGTCAAGTTGGCTTATAGATAAACCACATTTTGAGAGCTGCTCAACTCACTTTAAATAAATTAAATGCTTGTTGAAGTGATCAAAGTGATCATTTCCCAAATTGTTCTTCAAATAATGTAAAAACTCAACATTTTGTAAAAAATACATGAAAATCTAGACAACACCAAGGAAAAAGTGTATTTATATTATGGGCAAAGTACAGTTGTCATCTACTAGGTGCAATATTTGCTTTTGTTTTGGTGCTTTTGCAATATTTGCTTTTGTTTAATGAACTAAATCCTATCACATGATTAAAGAAAGCTACGTTTAATACCTCAAAGTAAAACACAATTAGAAGGAAAGCTTGTTGAAGCATGCTTGACAAGGCTTCATTAACTTTGCTGCCATTTTAGCCAAACAACGTTCTTGCACTTGATAGTTATGGCAAAGCACTGGCGACTGGCTAATCAAACAACGCTACATATGACAAATTCCCAAAGCATATATCTCAAGGTTTAAAGACAATTTATCCTTAACTGTGTAACAACAATGACAATCAGTTAAAATATATTAGTGAAGAAAGGACACGGAACTTCACTGAACAAACCAGCATTAAATAGGACAAGCAAACGAGCCGTTAAACTTGAGCACATTGATATCATTTATAAACAAATCAACTCTAGGAATGGAAAACTGTTACCTTTTCACATACTACCAAGAATTGCCGGTTCTTATTGCAATAAAGTTGAGAATTGATAGCTTTTCGTTTCAAGTAAAGGAATTGTGATGTGGAGACACGATGGGCGAATTCAACTTGTGAAATAGATACCAGCTAATCTATTCTCCAACAGACACTAATTAATTTTCCTGTTATCTTTCTAAGATTCAGAGAACCAGATAGTAGGTGATAATCAAATTTCTTCTAATGACTTTCATCTTTCTTCTTGCATTAGTATCGCATATAAAATTTGCCCTCCTAAATTAACAGGCACCAACGGCACCCTTTAGAAAATTATATTTCTTTTCAACGTAACATACTTGAATATTTTAGTAAAAATTTGAAAATATTTGTGTTTGTGACCCTCGTATCCTGCATGCTCTCTGAGGTTGCAATTAAAGTATCAGTTTTCCGTATTGTTTTCCGCATCGTTTAATAAACATTACTAACAGTGACTTCAAGAGTTTGTTTTCTACACAGTCGGAAGACTAGTCATTCACATCCCTTCAATAATAATTTCTTTTTACAATCACAGCTACGCTTCCTAGCTTAAGAGTTACTGAAATAAGATAGTTTGTTAGCAAACAGTAAACCTTGAACTTCTCAGCATGAGCAAAGGACAAGCCTAATGCGAGATAAGGAACCTCGTGCAGCTAGCAATAACAAAATGGAAATTCTAAGTGGAATGTTATTCAATGCCAAAGTAAGCATGACATTTTGAGGTTTGAGTCCTCATAACATTTTAGCTTGTCAAAAGTGCACACTATGCTAAAGGACTCTTTTAACTTCGCTCAAGTTTGCTTTTGTATCTTGTGCCATCGGCTTAAAATGTTTAACGTGAAACTTATAATTTTACTGGTGGTCAATTTTGGTCATAACAATGAGCAACAAATTAATCTAGCTAATCTCACGTATACGTGAGATGAATTTAAAACAGTGCATTCAGTATTTTCAGGTGATCACAAAATGAAGAGACCTTTCATGTGTTAAAATACTGAACAAACTAGACACTGAAATCTACAAGACTTGCCAGCGAAGTTCCGGCATTCGGCAGACAGAAAAACATCACATTTCGAACTTCCGATCTTCAGATTTTCCTTACAGTGTGTCGCAATCCAATCCGGAAATGAAAAGGCACAAAAGCAAAAGAACAGCTAAAAGTTCGCCAAAACTAAATAAGTGTGTTATGTACATAACTTATTGAAAATGGTGATCATGAGATTCCCATTAGATTATTTTTGGCCACCTAATCGAAATACTACGCCAGTGATTCATCAACAAGACGTGATTGAGTGCGGCTTCCATGCGCGTTTCAAAGTCATCGCGGAATTTGCGCACTCTAAAGATCACGGATCTAAAACACCATGGTTTGGTACAATTGTCACGAACTTCTGAGCGAAACCTGAATTGAGAGCTTAAGTAAGTAACCGATCAGCAAATTACGATGAATGCGACAGAAATTCAATTAAGTCTAAAAGAGTTTGGCTTTGGCAAGCCTGAGCTAATCCTAAATGAACTATGATCAATCAGTCGTTCCGACCGCCGGAATGCCTCACGCTCTCAAACCAGCATTATTTCATGGTAAATCACCTGTAGCTACCTGTTGATGTCCTTAGAATTCAATCACCAACTTCAAACTTGGTTTGAAACCTTCACGGTAGTGTTTACCAAACACAAACTTCTTCGCCGCGATACAAAGCAAATTTATTCTCACTAGGCTCTCTAAGACAAATATCACGCGCTGAAACCTAACAACCACCCAGTCTTCTCTCCGACAATTATAATAAACTGCGGGGGAGGGGTGATGTCGTACCTTTGTCTTTCGAATATTGATCAATGTCCGCTTCATCTCTGAGATAGGACCTAGTTAACTAATTACCGACAATGACACAAAACGTAAGCATTGTGCAATAACAATACATCTATTTCCGAGGGGATTTATCCGCCATTTCAAATCCAGTTGTTTGCCCCTTTTCCCAATGTGGAGAAGAAAAAAAAACCATTAAGCTTGTCACGCTTCAACGTAGATTTCATCAGACATAACTGATTATTCGATTTTTTAGTATGCATTGCTGAAACATTTGCTTGAAAGGCATGAAATACATGGTCGTTCCAATTTTCATGTTATGTGTCGATAGTTTCAGGATATTATGAACAACAAATGTACATTGCTTAAAAAATTCAAGGGCTTTGAACAATGTGGCGTAATCTAAAACTCTTTGCAAGGCATTTGTTAATCGTCCAAACTATGTGAACGTGACTTTTCAACAGTCAGAGCTGAATAACTCATCCTTCGTTACCATATGACAAAAAATTTATTTTGAACCAGACACCTTCTCGAAATCGATCAGAATTTTCAAAACTTTTGTTAATATCGCGTGATTAGAATGTATCGCTTTGCTCCAGCCCGCATATCAAAATTGTTACGCGAGCGTGCTTTCAGACTGTTTCCTCCCAATAGCGATAATGATCAATACAATAACATATTCTTTCGTCGGATGGAAAAAGCATCACAATACTGATGCACAAGTTGGTCAATCGCCCGCAGAATGTCCATCGTTAGAAACGCTTTCGAACTAAAATGAACATCGTTGTTATCTAAGTATTCATAAAGCAACTAATCCGATGGGTTTTTTTCTAACCTCGGGCGAGCAAACAAAATTACGGAGACAACAGCTTACGAGACAACAAAAGCACCGTAAAATTGTAAACATAACGACAACAAGAGCCATTATTTACCTTGGAAGATTCCTTGAACTCAAGATAGCCCTCCATATATTTTACTCCTATACTTCTCTCTTTCGTTCCCATAAGTTACATTGACTCAATGACTCAGCTGGAGTCCACCGTGACCAAATTCTTCAGCGCTTCGTTACAGTTTTTGGATGAGAACAATCCGCCGCAGTCTGTTATGTAAATTGCTTATCAACCAAGTAATTTCTCGCCAGTGTATAGTGAAAATTCGGTAAATCGGTAAAAACTACAAAACGCCTCTGTTCCTATAGTGTCAAAAGGAACATACCTTCGTCATAACAGGAAGTCTAAAGACAAATCTTAGGGTAGAGGGGGTTAGCTTATCGATTGTTCATCTCCCCGTTGATCACGCCACCTTTACACCCCTGCGTCTCAATTGTGAACTTCCTTTCGCAAACAACCTGATGTCGAAATGTATGCTTTTTAAACAACTCCGACATTTGAAAACTTGAAAACTTGAGAAAAGAAAAGAAATTGGCAAAACTATCAGATATAATTTAGGGTAGTGACTCTCTCTACCGTTGTTTCCGACGACTGATCTTTTGTCAAGTGGTTCTTCAGCCAATCAACTTTCAAAAAAAAAAATTTTGCTGCATATGAACTGCCAAGGAAAATTAATTTCAAATTAAACATTTAGTCTAGAAAAGGGTGTCATATACGATCCTTATTTTTTTGTCCTTTCAATGTTTTTCTCTTATCTGAAAGAACTGAGACCGCAAAATATGTAGTAAGGGTTTATTGGAGATAAAGTAGAGTTTCAGTTATCTGCTTTTTTATTTCCCGTTAGGTGGGATTCAATTGTGTTTAAGTTTAATGTCAAGTGTCTTTCCATGTTTAATTTTCGCAGAACATTGATAAACCTGTACCCTTCCTCCAGACCCTCACCCCTCTCACTTCGGTCCCCAATTACGTCCAAAAATATTTCCCCCCCCCTTTTTTTTTCATCTTTTCATTTTTCACTCTTTCGACTTGATGCTAGGGGTAAAAGTGGTCACCTTTTTTTGCGGGATTTAAGAATCATTTGGCGCAAATTTTCCCCAAATTGTTTCAGTTGGCAGCCATTCTTTCATTCCAACGGAGTTTATTATAACACTTACAGTAAGCAATCGGATAATGGCGAGTTCAGGATGTCGATTAATCGTGTGACTTCGATCTTTTTCTGGTTTGATAAATTGATTTTTGGCACATCGTCCCCTTTTTTCAACCTCCTACGAAAAAAAAAAGAAAATATTTTCGAAATTTAAAGCAGTCTAGGTTGGCGATTTTTGTAATTTAAAAATTTCGCCATAACTACACTGACGATAAATAACAGAAAGACAAAACTGGCAAAAGGAAAAAAAGTGCTGTGGGACCCTGCACCCTTGGTAGGGCGCGAGTGAAAATCACCGTCGGGGGTCTGGGACTGACAAGCCTCGTGCAAGTCTTCTTCGACCCGTCACTAAGTCGGGTAGCGAATTCCCACGTAGACTCTGTGACCCCCTTCTGCAGTATGATTTTATCGTGTCAGCGGTCGTCTCACTTTAGTAATAATAAACAAGGATCTGCCTGCAGTCAACCAGCGGTATCACAATTGATTACTCTACTCTGATCAGTTGGGTTCCGGAGTTGAAACCTTGCAGGATTTTGTTAGAATTTACGTTAAGAAAAGGCGAATTGAATGGCAGATTCAAAGAGGAGGTAAGTACATGGGTAAAAAGGAATGCTTTATTAGAAAACTGCAGAACTTTTCCGTGTATAATTTTTAATACAGTAAAAAAGCTGAGCTTCCAAGGTGGCCATATATACTTTGCCTTTAAGATCAGGAATAGGTTCGTCTGTTTGATAGTCTACTGGCCCATTGAAAACTTAGTAGTTGACATCAGTTAAAATTAAGAACAAGTAAGCATTATTATCGTAAAAAATATGCAGCTTTTAGAAGCTGGCCAGTAAGGTATTCTTGGCTTATTGCAGAAGGAAATGTAACGGTTTCATATTAATAATTAGTCATGGTGAAGTTTGAGTTGGTGAAGGGGGGACTCAAGTGTGTTCGCATGAGCTGGGAAAACTTGGATTTCAAATTACTGCAGGGAGGGGGGAGTTGGACAGAGGGGTCTGAACATCCTGATTCCCATAAACTTATTAAATGGCTCTTGCCTCTGTTTTATTTTCATTGCAAAAGTTTATGCAATTTTGCTAAAAATTTTACCCAGTTCCTGCCCTTCTTGCCTCCAGTACACCTCCATTCCCTATTCTCATGGGTTCCCATCCCCTGTCCCCCACCAAATAACTCTTAGATACTGGGAATTGCTTTTGGAATTAGGAAAGAAAGTGTTTATACACAAACCAGTGACAAACGTGTTAAAATTCAAATGCAGTGGTTTTTTTGTTGTTTTTTTGTTGTTAACAGTACAAGGATATGAATTATTTAGAACCGGACCTTCTTAATTTTATCATCAACTCCAATTTGATAATATTTTTCACAGGTTAATGCTTCAGCCATTAGTCTTGTAAATGGTTGGTAAATGGTTTATCAATTAGATTGGAACATACAGGGTAAAAAGGGCATTTTATCACCAGCTTCTGGAAGTGTGTCTTCAATTTTCTCTTCAGTGAGTTCTTGTTTAGTATTTTATCTTTTGCTTGTTTGTGTGCCTTTTGGTTCTTTCTTGTTTTCTTTACAATTACAGTTTCTGAAAATATTGGTTCCATGGTTCTTGTCCAAAAAGATGTTTAATGAACATGACATATCTATTTCATCAGTTTCTCAGCAAATGAGTGCCTAAATCAAGGAACATTTGCTGTGACTGTAACAAAGAAGTATTACTGATCACATTCAGTCGGTCAAATTTTAACTGACTTAAATGATTGGTATCTTAACAGTACACATCTTGGGCCCTTTTACTGCATATTCTTTGGAAAAAATGATTTAAATTATATAGCTTGCTTTAGAAAATACACTTTCTCACAATTTTTTTTCCCTTGAATGTAAATTTCAACAAGCTGAGCCACAACTCCATCACATACTTTAAAAATGTAAAGAAGACTCCCAGATAGGTTGCTATTTGTGTGTATTTTAAGTGTATGATCATGGACAATAAAAGAAAGGATTTTGCAATGCTGTGGCAAAGTTCACTCCTAAACAACTAGCATGGAAGAACTGTCCACATCTATCGCAGCCAAGCCAGTCTTCATTGTCATCCATTTGACACACCTTGCAAACAAGAACATCCCTTCCTCTGCCAAAAGTGAAGTAAAAGTTCAAAATGATTACTTAATTCTCAATTTGTTTTTTGGGATTAAACACAATACACAGTGGTGATTGTAATGATAAGAAAGGCATAATTATTGTACCTCAACATGTCATCGTAACAGCTGCCAAACAGGTTGGATAGAAGCTTCATTCTTTCGATAGAAACATTGACCTTTGTGATCGGTCTGTTATCACACAAGTTCCTGGCAAACTAACAATAGATCTTGCAGTTATATTATATATGATGTAAGATTGGTTGATGTAAAATGTAAATGTTCTGATAATGTTTCTTTAAAAACTGCTATGGAATGACATCATATTGTTTTGACTGTGTAATGTCAAAGATATTGATGTGGTACCTATGAGCTCACTTATCCAATGCTTTATACTACTCTAAAGATTACCTTACAAATAAGTACTCCACAGTTGAATCCATCAGTTTGCTGAAAATGGGGTGGCTCGAGGCATGCCTACTCTTTACTTTTCCAGCCTGTTTTGATGTCAGCAGCCTCACTACAGAAAGATTGCAACCATTTTCATAAATGCTACTGGATATAGCTACAAAAATGAGTTATGAACATTGTCTCAATATTAATTCCTGGCGATTGATGGAATCAATTAAGTTAGGTTTAGTTAAGTTTATGTTACATGAAGTCACTTAATTACTCATATATATATCTATATATATATATATATATATATATATATATATATATATATATATATGTATAGCTGAAAAATCATAAAAACAATGTGGCCAGTATAATGGCCATTCATAACTCTCACAACAATGAAACACAGGGTCTTGCTGGGAATACAGAAACTCACCTTATGTTATTTATAAGTCTGTACAGGCTGGGATTGGAAGCTGCTGTTATTTCATTTGGATGTTTGTTTCCATGAATAGGATCAATGTAGACATGGATAGATTCCTTGTTATCTAAAATCTTTGAACACATTTATTTTATGTCGTCAAAACGAAGTCCTGAGTCATGTGTACAATGTTCAATTTATCTAAAGAATATAATACAAATTTTAGAGATGACTATTTTATAAAAAAAAAAATGTACAGTATGAATAGCATCCTCGACTTACCAGTAATGTCCAGTGATGTCCAGTGATATTCATTGGAATAACAATTTTTTCAATTCCATGGAACCTCTCGCCCATCCACAATCTACGGGTACTTGCCCCATGTTTCACCAACTGACAAAGGGTACTGTCAGCAGCAAAGATTTTTTGGTCGAGTTTTGTTAGTTTCCACAGTGTAGCATCAACGATCTACAAAGAGAAGCAAAACGACTTTAACAACTGAAGATATACAAAATTAATCTTTCAAATAGTTACTGGAAAACAGTACTGCTCACCGTATCAGTTAACCATCCATCTACAAAACTAGGGATTTCCTCTTTAATTTTCTGTGTTTCCTTTGCAGATAAAGTGCCAGGAGGAAGAGTAGCTAGCAAGTCAGAAACGGTTACTTTGAATGGCCCTACTTCCAGTACGGAATCGCGTATACCAGTGTTGACTTGCAAGGTCTTAACCCTCGTCTCTGCGTCACACAACTGTACTTCTGACTCTCCTAGCTGAGAAGGCCTGTATATACACCACAACAGTAGATCAAAAGAATAGTCTAAAAGGTTGATAAATCGTTCCCTACTTAACTGATAGAATATTCGAAGAGTTATGATCACTGTTCTGTATTACTACATTCGATAGAATTATACCTTAATGAGATACGAGCAGAACTCTCGAGAATTGTGCCAGTTAGCTCATCATTATCCATGTCGTTATCCGCATCATTACACAGTTCAAGTTCATTATCGTCATCAAGAGATACATCACATATCGAGTCAACCTGCAAAGAAAACATTGGCACATACAAGATAAACATTTTACACGTTGACATAAACAGTTCTTTCAATCGTTGTGAGAAAACAACGAATTATACCAACCTCTTCTAATTCCACAGCACTGTCTTTGGAATTGCCCTCATCCCTTGTCAAGTCTACAACCACGCCCCTGTCCTTCCTTCTCTTGCTGTGTCGTCTGCGTTTGGGAAGTGTCTTATGTTTAACCTTGTGGTAGTCTACCTCTGTAACTTTGAGCTTCTTTTTTGCAGGACTCTGTCGAAGAGGAAGGCCATTTTCAAGAGAGGAACTTTGACGGAGATCCTTTAGCAGAGATTCCACAGTCATGATAGTATTCTCAAGGATACCTGAATCATCGACCACGAATGTTGCTGATCTTAATTCATCGACTCTTTCCTGAAGGCGCTTTCTGAGCTTTTCAGTTATTAAAGGTTGCTCGTTGTCGTTGATTTTTTGCCGGGAAGAAGTGCCACTGGATTGAGCAGGTGCATCATATTCATCGGAAGATGAGGTGGGGACTGTTGTTTCTGCACCGCATACTTGACTGTAAAAGTCATTTCCCTCGTCCGTTGAACTCGGTTCCGAGGTTGGTTGTTCGTCAGGATCGGCTTGATCAAAATGCACGGTGTCCAGAGTTATGAAGACGCTATTTTTGTAAGAATGCGGTAAGCTGTTAAAGCTCCACTCGTCAAAGAAGTTGAAAACAGCAAAAAGGTGTTTACAAGGGAAATGCGTTTTACGCCAGCTTTCACATTTGCAGCTTGGCTCCAACAGCTTGACAGCAAACAGCTTCGTACTGTTCGAACTGCTTTTGACGAGAAATTCACCTTTTTCTAAATTGACACATTTCACGTCATGTTCGGCAAACTCAGCAGCCCCAAAGTTACTCCTGAGGCAGTGTTTGACGAAATGAGGAGGACGGTTGTGAAGATAGTCAGGTATATCGCGCTTGAATTCACGATAAGAACCACTCAGCTGAAGGTTGGTGTCCAGGTAGTGTTGGTAGGAATCAGGGATAAACGACTCCACGATCATCACCACTATTCCAAAAACTGATTTGTCGAGTGATCCAGGCAAATACCTGTATTTGAACAACTTATTCTGCGCTTCAATTCCATTGTTGGTATTCACGATGTTGACGGCCTGTTGAACACGAAATGCATGAGCCCAACGATCGGAACAGTCCAACCACACCTTCCCGCAGTATTCTTGTACTTTGGGATTTCCTAAATACAACGTCGACTTTCTCAGGCTTTCCACGGCCTTCTTGTAGGACGTCTCCGAACGAGCACGAGCAATTGCTTGCATCAGTTCTAGAAACATCTTTTGTTCCCCTACGGTCAGTCCATTTTTGCCGGCTTTGACCCATCTCTGCCACGCCTGCTCGCGGTGAAAATCGCATATGTATACCGCAACATCTGGGAATTCGCTTTCGATAGCATTTATTTCCGCCATCGAATAATCTACCATAAAATACTTTGGTTTCCACGTAGGATTCCAGCTTTTGATGATATTAAGGGCTTCCGCGATGCATTCATTGTCCTCGTTCTGGCAGAGAAATTCGGCTACAACCTTATAACCCACATTGGTGTGGACACACACGAAAAACAAAGGGATCGCATACTTAGTCGTTTTGTAGGTGGCATCCATAAGTACAAGGTCACTGCCATACCTGAGTGAAGCCTCCGCTGCCATTCTTCTTGGTGTACGAACAAAAACTTTGTCTCGTCGCCATCCTTGACCTCGTCCCAGACAGGCAATAGGAAGGTTGCCAGACTTTTGCTCAAACATGGGTTGTACTAAAAAAAGACGAAACTACCGACATCATAAAGAGAGATTTTACAAAGCTGTTACATAGCGCGATTATTGAAATATTGAAAAACTTTCCGCAAAGCAAAAAATATGATTTTTTTTTTCCAAATGAGATTTCCGGCACTTGCGACTGGAGTATTTTATAAAGAGGTTGTCAAAACGACACTTATTAAGTTTTCTTTTTATGTTAACCACAGACCCCAGAGCCCAGTGTTTTCCAAGTATGTTCAGAAATTCTCCCTTGTGTTTTATTTTATGTGTAATGAATCCTGAAAACTCGATACCTTTTTCATTATTTCAAATGTATTTTTACACTATAGATCTTTATTTACCTTCGTATAATAATTTACTCCCCAGACATCAACTGTTTTATGTTTCTACCCTCGTGTCATTCTTGGAACTTGATTTTGGTAAATTAAAGATTTCTGGAGACTCAAGCTTTCATAATTTTGGGCTGCTTTCTTTGTTTTTCGAAAAAAAAAAAAAGAGTGCAAACAAAACAGATCCGGTCCACACGCGCATGTTTTTTTCACAGCGCCTTGTCTTTTTTCTTCCAAACCCATATAAACTGTTAGAAACCTTTCGGGCCGAGGTTAAAGAAAAATGTGATCATTTTTAGACTAAGAAAAACGCTTTATTAAATAGTCGCTAAATCTTGACAACCGTGAATGATTGTTGACTTTTATCACGATGATTTAGCATTTCTTCGTACTCATTTTCTCACTGGTGGAAGTTGTGCAATAGTCTGTCAACGCACGTGTGGAACGGATACTGTAGATGCCTTCGGATAATTACCGAAATTAAAATCTTGGCCACTTGATGGCTAAATTTTATTGAACTGTTGCGACATAATATTTCGCTTTCATTTCTTCATTAAAATATGGACGTCGCATCTGGGCTCCATAAATGACTAGAATATTTCCGCCTTAAACAAACAAAAGGCAGCGAAAGGTCGAGTTGTTTTGTAATATAAACATGAAAACCCTGGCATGGCCTGCCTTGACTGTATTCGTCCTCTGTTTTGCGCAATCGTTTTCCTTTTCCCGAAAATTGCAAACCTAAAATGCTCAAAAGAAAAAGTAAAGAAGATTGAAAATACCATTTTCGGATGATCTCCGCGACCTTTCCTTGACCTCTGTTGTGGAGCGCACAAAACATGTAGAATTCAATGTGGTGAATTGCTCAATGAGATCTTCCTTCCGTTCCTCTGTCCCATCTAAAAACCCGTAACCGTAGTCACTATCAACGCGTACCTCGCAGAGGTTTGCATGAAGAAACTCGATTTCCTTTTTAACTAGCGTAGATTGTTTGCCAGAACTATTTGGATTACAGCTAAGGCCAGTAGCCCGCGTTGCAAAAAATTCGGATGACATCTCGTTAGCAAGGCAAGGTCAATGAGCCCTGATAGGGACGTGACTTTAAGTAATAGCGCGGGATTCTTGCCGCTGGTTATAATTAACAGCTGATTCAACCCTAGTCCCCAAGTTGAGCTCCCCTTAGTTAGTTATTACTAAAGTGGGACGACCGCTGACACAATAAAATCATACTGCGGAAGGGGGTCACAGAGTCTACGTGGGAATTCGCGACCCCACTAAGTCTAACTGGCAAGCATCGTCGGAAAGCTGCCTTTCTCTTCACAATTTAGCCTGGGAGACGAGCTGCTGTTGGTTTAACCATTCGTATTGGTCCCAAGGTAATTGAAATTGACAGTGTCATTGTATATCTTATGTCTCCTGCTTAGTTATTGCAAAATTCGAAGCGAAAGGATATAATGTAAGCAGTGTATGTTCAGGTGATTCAATGTAGCCTCACTTCCGTCCTTCCGGCTTCTTTACACAGCGTCATACGGCTGTTTACAGAAAGAACGTGAACTGTGATTATTAATAGAGCTGGTGCCCCAAAATTAACTATTAGTTCCTTTAACCCTCGAAACTTCCATTCAGAAATAAGCTAACTGAGTAATTTAGTAAATATCTATTTATCAACCACAATATTTATAGTTTAAAAATATCACAACCTGCAAATAACTTTGGCAAAACTCTAGCTTTTTCTGGACCGATTATAGTTACTAGTAGCTGGGAGTTAGAAGAAATTTTATTAGCAACAGGAGAAATGATTGTTTTTTTCAATGATATCCGAGAAACATTCAGATATTTTAATCTGTTAGTTGAGATAACTGACAATAATAATTATTGTCAGTATTAATAATTATTGTAAAGTAACTTACATTTATAGATAATTAAAACATTACTTCACTTTGCTTGTGTTCACTTCTAATAGGAAGTTAGATAAACCAATGTCTTAATGTCCCCAGATTTTGGCCACATATGAGACTGGTGATGACAAGGGAAGACTATTGGTCAAATGCCGGTTGACAATCATTGGACTTTTGCTCCCTTCTCAGCCTGCTATCAGTCTATTCTTTGCTGACTTATCTTTTTACTGTAATGACCTTCATGTTAGAGGAGGCTACCTATCCTGTGCATGATTCAAATAATCAGTAGTCTATGAGTCTTTTGCATGTTGACAAAACAGCTCATGGATTGATCTAGATCTGTTTACAGGGAGTGTTGTCAAGAGATTCAAGTCTCCCTCAAAGAAGACTGTAGATCAAAATGGAGAACAAAACTGAGGTTGAAATTGATGACTCTCTTTACAGGTAAGATAAAGCAATTGGGTATTGCCATGCTTGTTGGGAAAAGGTGTTAACTTTCTGAAAAATCTGTGGTGTTGTGTCAGTAGGAGAGTGTAAGAGGGTACTTTAGTTTTGTCAACTTAGTTGATAGCATAAATTAGTCACTGTAAAAAGTTTCAAAGCTTTAGTGCTTCATCAGAGTAAATGACGAAAGGCTAATGCTCAAAGCATCAGCTTTGAAACTCTCTATGATGGCCAATTTATGTTATCAACTCAGTTGATAATACTGAAATACCTTATTGGGAAAAGTATTGGTTATTTACCTGAAAGTTTTGAGTGGGTACTGACTTAAAAACAATGTGTGTGAATAGTAAACAGTGGGAAGATGAAAAAAGCTTTAACCCTTTAACTCCCAGATCAAATTTGTAATTCTCCTTACTGTCAAACCATGCTATCCTTATAATGTTAGTTAAGATAATTTAGTATTGGATCAACCAATTATCCCCAAATTGATATAATTCTTTATTCTCGTCACATATCTGGTTGGTATTGTATTGATATTGTAAGGAGAAATTCTACTTTGGTCACTCATGGGAGTTAAAGGTTAATTTGATATAAGAAGAAATGATATAGTAGAAGACTGTGTGGCTCAGTAGATATTATGGTGAACCTCTCATTAAAAAGTTTGGATTTAAGTTGTCATGATGGATAGGTCATTTTATTGTGTTGTTGTAAAAGATACTCAACACAATGGGTGACTAGAACTGTTCTGGCAATTGAAATGAATTTCAAGGAGATAGCTGTAATAGAGTGGAAGGTGTGGTACCCTTAGAGTTAATGTGCTGGACTCTGTGTGGAGGGGTCTGGATTCCAGACCTGGCTAGGTTGTTGTGTTGTGTTCTTGAGCAAAACACTTAACTTTCAGAGTGCCCAGGAATATAAATGGGTAGCAATGAACCATCAGTAAACCTGATGAAATGCTGGGTGGTAACCTTACAATCTTCCAGGGGGAAGTAGTAATACTCTTAGTTGCTTTATGATAAGGAAACTGGGATAAGCTGCAAATGGGTGCACCACTTGGCTTGAGAACAGACTTAACCAACCTATTATAATAATAATAACAATAATTAAAATAATAATAATAATAATAATAATAATAACAACAATAAAATTTATATAGTGCTTAAAACTATGTATATTTTCAAAAGCTCTTTATATTACATTAACCCTTTAATCCTAACTAGGAGTGATCAGCATCTAATTTCTCCTTATTATATCATCAATCCCTGAATCACACGTTAAGATCAGAAGAATGAAGGAAATGATCACCAACTAAAAAAAATCTCTTGATTGTTTTACAAATTCTCCTAGAAAGCACCTTAAGAAATGTATAGAGAACTGTATGGAGAATTTGCAGACTGATGTTAGGGTGTAAAAGGTTAAGGATAAGCATCTCATCTAGATGGAGTAACAATAATGCTAGTGGCTCCATGGTAATGAAAGATTTATGTAAATGTAAGATAAAAAAAGTTGTCTGTCTGATTGTTGTTAGTCTTCAGTTGGTTTTATAACTTGCCTGCACAGAAAAGGTTTTGTCCCACATTTTTTCCCAGGAATTAATATGTAATCTAGTAAGTAATTTGATATATGCCTCTGTCATTGGCAATTTTTAAGTTATGATTTATAGTGGACTTTGTTATTTTTTTGTACAGTCGTCAGCGATATATGCTTGGTGATGGAGCCATGATCAAAATGGCTCAGTCAAAAGTGCTTCTTAGTGGTCTTGGGGGATTAGGGATTGAAATAGGTAGGACTTCGCAGATATTTTTGCAAATGTTATGGTTTAATTATGAAACAGTTTTAGTAGACATGAATGTGAAGTGCAATGCTCTTTATTATGAAAATGAGATAATGCATAGAAAATGCTGTAGTTATTTTTTTGTGGCTTACATTGTAATAGAAACAATTTATCTATTAAACCACAATAAGCAACAACAATAGTTTCTTTATTTGTTTGTAATATTCATTATTTTTCTTTTTTTTTTTTTTTTCTCAGCTAAAAATGTTGTCCTTGCTGGAATTAAGGTAAAAGGTTGATTATAGGTAACAGTAAAGAGTGAATCGAATTACAAGATGCCATTGATTTCAGCTATATCTCTCCAAGGGTCTCGGTTTAAAGCCTTTGAGAAAAGGCAAATTATAAGTCTTGGTAAAATGATTTTTAAAAGATCAAGTCAAAGAGGATGTTCTGGGAACTGTTTCGTCACACTTTGATTATATACAATTTTATGCATTGCAGTTCAAATTTTCCTGTAATTACTAGTTTGAACAATTAACTAGTTTGAAAATTTGCTCTAGATCATGGTCTGTGGTAATTAGGAAGAAACGCGAGACAAAGAAAAATCAAAATTGATTAAGTGGTATGAAATAAGAAACCACAAAGTATCCATGTATGACATTGTTCAAAGTATGTGTACTTGTACAGATCTAAGATGATATTTAGAACTCACCTAGTGTCCCAGTATTTTCAAGTTACTCACTTTAGAATACTATGTTTTGTAGTCAATCACATTACATGACACCAAGATTGTCTCTTATCATGATCTGGGAAACCAATTTTTCTTGAGAAAGGAGGATATTAAGGAGAAGAGAAACAGGTATTTTTTTGATTGATTAAGTTGTAAGTAAACCCACCTCTGTTTGATATTGTTACACATCTTTACCCCTTGTGGGTCCAGGAGACTTGTAAGCGGGTAATAGGGAGTTTATGGCAATCTCTGAGAAAATTTTGCTTAAAAATGAAATTTTGTTTTAAATTATAGTATTTTAGAAGTTGCTCAAAAAGTATTAATGGTCTCAAACTGTGCCAGATCTCCCCATCAGGAGAGCATGGAAATGCAGTGTAGAAATGTTTTGAAATAATAGTCCTTTCATCATGGTTTCTAGCCTCACCAGGCCACTTACATTTAAAATGTCCTTTTCCCAAATAACTCTTATCTGTGGGGATCACTTATAAGAGGAGGGAAGGCTTGCAAATGAACAATGCTGGGCCACAGCTTCCTACACTTCAAACTGGAACTAATACCAAACTAATTGAACCTAGTAGTAGAATTTGGAATAAAATTAACCTTGAAGTAATTCATGAAATTCCTGCTGACTCTCTTAAGTTTCTTTTGTTCTGCAGCTAAATATCATTGTGAGGCTAATGAACTTGTTCTTTGTTTCCAGAGCAGAGGCCAGTGCCCCGAGGCTAGCTGAGCTGAATCCTTATGTGAATATTCAAACATCTACTTCAGCAATTAGTGAGGGTGACTTTGCATTCTTATCACACTTTCAGGTATTTCATAATATTTATGATGGAATTTTAATATTGGTTTATCTGTAAATTTAGATATTGGTGTAGTGTTCTAAATGCTCTACGTCCTTACAGGTTAAGTATTATATACATTTGTGGTACACTTGTTTTCAAGGTTGCAAGCTCAGGTTTTTTCAAAGTCACCATTTGGTGACCTAAATTAAAATAATGCTATTTTAAAATGTTTGTTCTGTTCTGCTGATGGTCAGTAACAATTGTGATTGTGAAGTGAATGAAAATTAGGCACTCTGACTCTTGTCTACATGAACATACAGTTCAAAATTCAGCCAATAATATCATCCTGGATTATAGGTATCAGAATCTTTATACCTTGTCAAATTTTCCTCCACAAAAATTTGTTTAATTTGTTTTGAATTGATTTCATTTAAATTAAATGATCCTCCAACAGGGGATTTGACACTGTCTTGTTACCTGGTGCACGTTAGGTCAGATTAGGTAACTACCAGCTGAGGTTAAACTTGAGGTTCAGGATTGATTTTGGTCTGGTGTGAATTTCTTTTTTCTACTTTTAGTGTGTGATTCTCACAGAGGCTCCACTTAGTCTTCAACTTGGAATAGACAAATTCTGTAGGTCACAGAAGCCACCAATTAAGGTATTATCCTTTTGACCTCAAAGAGTGATAAGCCTGTAATTTCTCCTTACAATACCACCCCTGAATCAAATACTTAGTTCACAAAAATGGAGGAAACAATCACTAACTAAAGTAGCACTGGTAATGATTGCTAAACAAATTCTCCTTGTCAGCACCTTAGGAAATGTATAGAGAACTGTATGGAGAATATGTATACTGCTGTTAGGGTGTGAAGAATTTCAAGAGATTATGAAATGTGTGTGGTTAGTTTAATTAATCATAAACTAAGTAATCCAATCACAAGTGATTTATATGATGTGGTGTTGCATTGCATCATTTCAATTGCATTTGAAATGGATGAAGGATATGCAATTTCAATGGAAGTAGTTCTGTTTAAAGTTTCTCTTTTCTTTCCAACATTGCAACCAATTACAAACCTTGTAGAGTACTTGATTTGTCTGACTGTAGAAATACACCATAGTAAGTAAGACAGCCATTTCTTTTCAGTTTATTAGTGCTGGTGTACAGGGAGTGTTTAGCTGGGCATTCTGTGACTTTGGACCTGAATTTGAGGTGGTGGATTCCACAGGAGAAGAACCAAAAGAATTTTTCATTTGGAATATTTCTAAGGTGTGTGGAAGACATATTAAGCCATTTACAGAGAAAGAGGTTTTTTTCTTCATGTCTCGTATGTGGGACAAAGAAAAAATTTTGAGTTCTTCCCATGAGGAATTGAACCTCAGGCCTTTGGATTCCTCCCTATGATGCTCAAACATCTTTAGGGAGATAGGCCATTTATGGAATCACACAAAAACACATTTACCATTAATTTACATCAAAGGTAAATTAAAGTTGCTGAAATGGAGAATGTAACTTTGTCAAATTCATAGCCAATTTAGCATAACTAATAGGTGCATTAGAATGATCAAAATTTGGCTAATATCTTACAATGTATAAATAAATATTCTTTAATCATAAAAGCAGTCATTTTTTGTTATTGAAGTAGAACAATTTTTTACATTTGTAAAAGTGTACTGTGTTTACCCATTTTTTATTTCACTTTGTTTTGTTTTCTTAATTTTTGTTTGATTCAATCATGTTTTTGAAAGCACATCAACTTTGTTGCAGGCAAATCCTGGTGTGGTGACAACATTAGATAATCGTATGCATGGATTACAAACTGGTGATAAGGTCTTATTCAAGGAGATAGTTGGAATGACAGTTCTCAATAGCTCAGAACATACAGTCAAAGGTAATCAGAAATCAATCTATTAGAGATCAATTCAACAAGTATTTGCGAGCTTATTCTTTGTAGAGTAGTTGCTAATGGTTGAACCATTATCAGGGTATGTGACAATTGAGTTGCAAGTCTGACAACTCCCCAACCCCTGCATGTACATGAACACATACTCACTTCACCCTTGTTAGTGCTAACCCTAACCCTAACCCTAACCCTAGTCTTTTTCAATTCAAAACTGAGTTTCAATTTATGTGGCTTGAGAGATAAGAGGTAGTCATACAGTCGTTATCTTGAACACATATGAGGGCTGTGGATAGTGTCCATCTCATTGTTACTGATATTGATTTTAGTATTCCTCTTTAGTGGAATGTCTGTCTTGGTTCATCCTTCAGACCCCAAGAGTGACCAGCATCTTAATTCTCCTTATAGTAATCTTGCTAAATCATTTATTAAGATCATGGGAATAAAGGAAATCATTGCCAGCCTTTGAAGCTTTGAATATTAAACAAATTCTTCTTGTACCAATGGAAATGTATAGAAATGACTATAATGGAGAATATTAATATTGATTTCAGGCTGTAATGAGTAAGAGAAAGGTAACTGTGATGGAAAGCTGCATAATTATACAGCTTATAAATGGTCAAAGGATCTCAAGAGTTAAATATCAATCAAAAGAATTCTATTAATATGAATTAAATCCATCTTTGTGGTAGAATATGACACAATTTACATACAGTGTACTAATCAAATGATGTTTTGATCTTCAGTACTGTCTCCATATGCATTCAGCATCTGTGACACCACTGGACCTGATTATGAAGATTATCAATATGGTGGAATTGCAAGACAAGTCAAAACTTCCTCAACTTTAATAGAATTTGTAAGGAATCATGATTGAAATCTTTTAAATTTGTATCTGTTGATAATATACATTAGTTTGTATGTAATGTTTGTAATGACTCCAGCCAGTTGTTGATAATTCTGAAGTACTTTTCTTGTATTGATCTTAAGTCATCATAGAAGCCTTTGAAGCTGGATTAAATGTTTTGCTGTTGATAGAGTTTCAAATTTCTCTTCAGGAGTCCCTCGAAACACAGCTTAGTAAGCCAGATATTCTTGCTGCAGATCTCAGCAAGATGGAGGTATGTAATAATTAAATTTCAAATTTGTTAGTTTAGAAAACTTGGGAACTTTCCTTCACTCTGATTGGCCGGTTGCAAGGGTTGCTCTGACTGGTTGCACTCACGCATCAATGTCAATAACTGGGAAACTGCACACCTACCCCTCCCCTAACCCAACATTAACCCTAACTTGCTGTCAGTTGACTGTTATTGGGTTTGGGGATGGGTAGGTGCACAGTTGCACAAATACTGACATTGATCCTCAATCTCAAAGCAAAAAGAATGCAAAACCATTGTTATCCCGGATTACTTTCGACACAACTGAAAATTGCTCTAACTGAACTTTACATTATATGTTTTCAGAAAGTTACCCAAGTTATCTAGAGCCCTTCTTCGCCCTCCTTCCTGAATTATTACTACTTAGGCTCTGTGGTCGAAGCGTTTATTCTATAAGTTGTCCTTCTGATCCACAGTTGCAAGCTTTGCAGGTTTAGCTTATAGTGGAGATTGCAGCGCGCGCAGCGAAGCCCGATACCCATAATACATTTAATGATGGAACATGGCGCTCGTAGACTCCCCTCGATTCTAGGATGCCAGGTGTTATGATTTATGGGACGAATGACCAGATCGAAGTACCTCTACCACTCTGTAGCCATGTTCCTTTTGTTGTAATTTTTGTTGTTGTTTTTCTTTTGGGTAGGTTCCGTTACATCTACATCATGGGGTACATGCCTTACATTTGTTTCAAGAACAACAAAGAAGATTGCCCGAAGTTAGGTAATGTGCGGGGAAAGAGGACATGAAAAACCTGACCTTAAAAGCGAACAGTAACATGTAAACGAGCCAAGTTTAAAAGATGCTTTTTCGAAACGTTAGATCGATTGATTCTAACTTTTTTCACATCTTTTTGTAATTTAACCTTGATGATTGCAGTAAATTGTAACATCATAAAGAATGGTCTAAATGATCAGCTTCTTTTCTCCTCATATCTTTGATTTTTCAGGAATAGTGCGGATGCAAAGAAATTATATGAAATGGCAAAATTACTGAACCAGAAAGCAGATACCAAGGTTAGAGGTCTTGCGTATTACAGTATTTGTTTCAAAATGGGTCATGAGTTTTAGAGCGGACCGTGAATCATACAAATAATAACGTTAACTTTGTAAGTTGTATTTCAGGTGGACATTCTTGATGAAAAGCTACTCAAACAGTTAGCTTTCACATGTCGAGGCTGTTTTTCCCCTTTGACAGCTTCTCTGGGTGGAATTGTAGGTCAGGAAGTGTTGAAAGCTTTAACTGGAAAGTACACTCCTTTAAAGCAGTGGGTATGTAAGGATTTTATTCCAACGTTATTTTAATCCGTTAAACCCTAAGAAATGACCAGCATCTTATTTCTCCTTTCTGTAATACTGATATCTTTCCCCTTTCCTCCACCCTCTTGTCAGGGGAAACCTTTTGGGAACTCTTCTTAAAAAAAAAAAAAAGGTTGTATTTTCAAGTAACGAAAAGATCCTCGCAGGTGAGTCAAAATTAACGAAACTGTTGCTCACTTACGAGGATCGTTTTTTTCACTTGTATTTCATCCGCGGGTCAACCTACACTATCGCTCTCGTGTACTGCATCATTACACGCGCTTGACACGCGTGCAATTCCAACGCACTAGCGGCGTGAAACACGCACAGTGCGTGTCACTACACGCACCTGTGTGTATTAAAAAGAGGCATGTAAACGAGAGTAAAATGCGTGTAAATTACACGAATTTATTGCACTGTGGAAGTTGCGTTTTGTAACCATTCATCTCACCAAAACGTTGATAATATCCTTATCTGTTTTTAACTTTTACGCAGCTTTATATTGATGCCACTGAAATGTTAAAGGGACAGGAGACATTAGACAAAACTTCGTTCATCCCAAGGTTTGTTTGTCGCTTTTTTGTACGATGTACATGTATATGTAAACGGAAGGGAAGACGAGGGTGTGTTTGTTTACATTTAAATACACTGGAGAATTCTTGGAAATTCTCAGCTCAGCAGAGTATGTCTCTTCTCGCTTCCTATCGTCGCACTTCGTCTCGTCCGCCTCGCCTCCTCTCGTCCCGTCTCGTTTTTTTCCTTGTGTCCTCGTCTGTTGTTTGTTTTGTCTCTTTGCTTGAATTTTTCTGTCATTTATGTTCATGTCTAAGAGAGCTCTTGTTAAAAGCAGTTCTCTTAACTTCATACCTACACAATCTAATTAATTTCTTTGGAAAAAAACAGTCCCAGATCAAGTTAATTGTTTTTGTGATAGTAGGCTCTAAAAATTGTTTCAACCTTTTATTCATCGTGTGTTGTTATACATACCTGTTTAACAACACACAACAATATTATCTAACACGATGTATACACTACCTTTTTTAGGTATGATCGTTATGATTCTCTTCGAATTTGTATTGGAGAGGAACTGCTGAGTAAACTGTCTAATCTGAGACTCTTTATGGTGAGATAATCACAACGAATTTTTAAAGAGATTAATTTCAATTAAAGTTTCTTGTAGCACGACAAGGCCACGCATACCATGTTTTGTTTTCCTCTGTAATCTTATTTTTCATCTTTTTGCAGGTTGGATGTGGTGCTATAGGGTGTGAACTGCTAAAGAACTTTGCTCTTTTAGGTATTGGCGGTGGCCGCAATGGACTGGTACGCGTTTTGTTACTTCTGCGACTTGTCTCATTAGTTAATTAATATTTAAATCTCCAATCAGTGCTCATGTTACCTTTTTTTTTTCTCTACTTCACAGATGACCATCACGGACAACGACCTCATTGAAAAGTCCAATTTAAATCGTCAATTTTTATTCCGACCTCATCACATACAGGTAAGATGAGGTGTCGATCCCATATTAAACCTCTTCTTGAAGAGTTTGTCCTGGGGGCGGAGGGGCGCATTTTTCCCGCGCTTCAGGCGGTGTGCTTGCTATTTCTTTGCTTCTTGTGATTTTTCCTTTTGTTCTGTTTGGCCATTCTGATTACTTTGATTTTGGTTTTACGACACTCAGTCAATCGAAATGCACTTTTACGGAGCAAGTTATGGAAATTCCTCAACACTTATTTTTAGAATCGCGAAAAATCCCCCGAACGCAGTGAACGCTATCAGGCTTCTTTAAGGCAGGATGCGATGTATGAAAAAATGAGCCGTCTCAGTGCTGGTTTTGTAAATCTTCTAACTATTTGTTTGGAATAACATTATTCCATTGATCGTGCATGGAGTGAGAATGCCATAGTAGAAAATCAAACGTGGTTTGAAAAAAGATGATTCTTTAGGTGATAGCGGGTTGACATGGATCACAAATATCTTTAAAAAAATTAAGACAAGATCTACTTTTTAGTCGTCAATCTGCTCCTCCCTTCGATGTTGCGCTTACCAGCTACTATGTTTTTTCTCCTCGCAGAAACCAAAATCAGTTACAGCTGCTTCATCAGTTACTTTAATAAACCCAGGTAATATAACACTACGTTATAGACTGTGATGGTTCCTTCTGACAACTTGTATGCAACCTTGTGATCATTAGTCGGTAACGAGAACAATCTCATTGCCACTCCCTTCCACTCTGTACCCTAACTGAGAACATTTGTCAATGATTTAAAATCAAGCCGACTTTTCAAGCGTCAACCCTTCGTTAGAGCGAAGGGCTGCTTCCTGAAACCGACCAGCTAAAAAAACTCTCTACGGCGGCCAATTTACATATCAACTCAGTTAATGAAACCAAATCATTTTGTAATACCCACCACTGACGCAGCACCACAGTTTCTTCAGAAACTTACTCCCTTTATTGGTTTAAAGGGGGCACCTCTTTGCGTATGCTTAAGGTTTAGTTCCTTGTTATCTCACCTACAATCTAATTATCTCGCTTTCCTTCCAGATATTGATGTCGATCCTCATCAACACAAAGGTAACACGTAGGTCTAAATAGCGACAGTAATGAAAGTTGTCTTCGGGTTTTGAGTTTAGTTTGTTCAGAGACGGAACAATATTGTGTTTTTATTGTTGCAGTTTGTCCAGAAACGGAAGAAACGCTGTACACTGATCAGTTCTTTGAGTCTCAGGACCTTGTTGTTAATGCTTTGGACAATGTGGAGGCCAGGCGGTACATGGATAGGTAAGTTTCACTCATTCTTGATTTGTGGTAGCTGAACGAGTTTGTGGAGAAAAATCTGACTGTATACCCATCCTAGGGTTGTCATTAAATAATGTAATAGATGTGGTAGTTCCTCGAGGTTGACAATCTTTCAGCTTTCAGCTAGATTACAGAAAACTTCAATGTATAAAGCGGCATTTCTCTTTTGCTACAGTCGATGTGTTAGTACCCAAAGAGCCCTTCTGGAGTCAGGAACAATGGGACCCAAAGGACATGTACAGGTGAAGGATTAAATCAACGTCTGTTTTCCCATTTTGCTCTCTATCGAGGACATCAATCAAGTGGGAAAGGCCAAATGATTTCAACAATTATCGCAATTTTCTTTTCAGCGTTTTTGTTGATTCACAAACTACTTAATTTACCGCCAAATGTAACTGCGCTTTTGAGCATTTGTTGCTGAAGTCTTAGTTCGATGAGTTAAATGTGTAGCAGCTAGAGGGGAGAATTGATAATCAGATCGTGGGAGTTTAAGGGTTAAAAAAGCGATCTTCTCAGGAGGTGGGTGCATTTTTTTCAACAGGTCATAGTTCCTCATCTTACAGAGTCATATGCCAGTCAGGTATGTTGTTGCTTCTCCTATTTTTATTGATAGCTGAGAGTAAAAACGTTTCAGTTACGAACGTCAGTCTCGGCGTTGGTTAAGAAGAATAACGTAATAGTTTGGTAGGTTTTATTGTCAGTGGTTTATTTCCATTTCTATTTATAGCGTGACCCTCCAGAGGAGGAAGTACCGCACTGTACACTAAAGTCATTCCCGGCGGTCATAGAACACACCATACAGTGGGCCAGAGATAAGGTAAAGCGAGGAGATTTTTTCGTGAGTGTGCATGGATCGCGCCTAGACAAGCGTGAGTGGTTTATGCGGAGTGCCTTTAGAGGTAGTTCCTAGCCATCTGCGCATGCGTGTTTACGATACTGCTATTCGCAAATGATTGCGACGTCTCTTTTTAAATAGTATGATTGGTTATGTTTGGAATTTCCCGTCATGTTAACTAAAGTAATTTCGCGTCACGGTGAGCAGTGATCGCACTGAGATTTTTGATTACACAGTTAGGCAACTTGTATCCCTGAAAGATTGAATTTTGGGGAAATAGTTATTGCGATGCATTATAACCATAAGTTTCTTCGTTTTCGGTAGAAAATGAAGATCAAAATGTAATGACTGTGTTTATTTATAAACTGAGAAGTCAGTCTACCTCGATTTTTATTTCAGAATCAGAATGCTTTCCGTCTAGCGTTTTTTTTTTCTGTTTTATTCTTTCAGTTCGAAAACTGTTTTTCTCAAAAGCCTGGGATGTACATGACATTTTGGTGCGCGAATGAATCTCCAGAAAAACTATTGGAAGTAAGTGGTTTCTCTCTCAGCGAATTTCATTAACATCAAATATCACAGAAGTATAACTAAAGTGTCGAAACAAAGGAAAGAATGTAAGTAAAAAGGAAACAGTTTGGCTGGAATGGAGTTCGTTTTAGTGTTTAGAGTCAGTTTCTTTTTCTCTATTATTAGGCATCTCGTAAATAACACTCAAATTCCCCACGGCATTTTTGTAAAGTGATGAATTAATCGCGTAGATCTGTAGAGTTCTGATTGCGTTGTTCCTTTCCGGTAGCGTAGTATTGGTACTTCGAAAATACTCCTTGATACGCAAATTCTTACATTTTTCAAGGCGAGTCCAAGAAAAAACAAATCAACAAATTAGTTAATGAATGAATAGATGTGCAGAAAAATAAACGAGGATGGACTGAAAAGCACGAACTTGAAAAGTGTGGTCTTAATTATTCAAGATGGGAAAATCGGCTTTCAGCTACTTTTTGAGATGAAACAAGAGTGGAGATGAGAATTAATAGTTTGTTTTTTACTGAACGAGGTAAGTTATGTGTTGTTTTTGTTTCTTCCATAGATTCTTCAATCTGGAGACGAACCTGAAAGTGTTTACCGAGTTATAAAAATGTTAAAACAGCGACCTGCCAATTGGGCGGAATGTGTTGCCCGTAGTAGAATAGAATTTGAGAAATACTACAATCACAAGGCAAGTGTGTTCTAATAATCTGATAATGGCGCAACTTTTGCCCAGTGGCGGGAAACCAACTACCGCCGTTGCAATCGGCCAAGAAAAAGGCGGGAACAATTAAGGGTGCGTAATTGGTGAAAAAATGGCGGAAATTTTTGTTATTCGTCTGGCTTCATGCCCCTAATGAAAGAAAGCGCAATTGCCCAGCAAAGAGTCTTCAGATACTTAATCATTTTGTGTTCCTGCTTAACTAACCACTCGTGTGGCAGATGTTTTGATCACGATAACGCACTCAGCCTTGTGGTATCACAGCGATTTGATGGCGTTTCCACTTCTCAAAAATCATTTTACTTATTTATTTATATATTATCTATTTGTCAGGCCAAACAATTACTCCATGCATTTCCACTAGACACGAGAGTCAAAGATGGTTGTAAGTTAAAATTATGCCTCATTACGTTTAATAACTGTTAGTCAGTTTTGTAAGAGTAAAATGTTTATTTTCGCTCTCAGCGCTTTTCTGGCAGAGCCCAAAGAGACCGCCAATCCCGCAACAGTTCGACACCACGAATGAATTGTGAGTCATTTATCAAACTGATTTTGTCTTTGTTTCCATTACTTGATGTTCAATCGTTAGTGACTGCTTTTCTCGGTGTGGTGAGCATCTTTGTGACCTGAGGCCCGTTTCCCGAAAGTTCCATACCTTTACCGGCCCTAAGAAATGTTTTTAAATCTTACTCTAAGGAAAATTTCATGAGGTTTGTGGGTCAAGATCCAGTTTCTGTTTCGTTTCGTGGCATTTTACTGTTTGTTTCTCAAGACTCTAAAAATATCTACCTTGAATAAAACACGGCAAAAAAATATAGGTATAAATCAGGTTTTCGTTCGCGCATAGTTTGATAGGTCTTTCGAGAAACAGACCCCAGGAAACATGCAATAACGGTGTGATTTAGTTTTGGGACAAAAGGTATGATTTTGTTCCATGCTGCCGTCAATTATAATCATAACTGACATCTTATGGCAGAAATAAACAATTGGATCAAAATAATTTAATCAATACTTGAACGCTTTACAATAGCGCAGTGTTTCACGGCAGGTTCCAAATACGATCGACGCATTTCCAATTCCACAGTTCTCGTTTCATCGAAAAACGTGGAAATTTTGTTTTCTGTTTTCTGATTGTTCATATTTCTCCAGACACATGCTTTTTGTACGAAGTAGCAGTAAGCTACATGCAGACACCTGCGGTATCAAGTACACCACAGAGGTAATTCGTTTTTTCGTCCATTCATTGTAATATTGAATAACTATTTACCGAGGTGAAGGTGGCTTGTGGTAAATATCCATCATACCACCGACACTAGGATGAAAAATTGTTTTAGTTTATACAAAAACATTTAGATAATATAGCACAAAAAGGTGAATGAGTTCATTTCATCTATCCTCCAATGATTTCAATATTTTGGGCGCAAATTCCGTGCGTTGCTCAGAGATGAATAGCAAAGGATATACGGAGCTTGAGTAGCCAATCAAAGCTATCCGCTGTTTTAGTATATACTGACTTGTATCTGCCAGGCACTACGCGGTGCACATATTAAGTAACAACTGCTAATTGTGGTCCTACATAAACAAATCCTCACAACGACCTGTTGCAAGCACGTTAACAGATTCAAGTCTCCTCAGTATTCTGTTTCTTTTTACCACAGGATTTAGGTGATACACGTATTATTGAAGTACTCCGCGATGTCAAAGTTCCAGAGTTTAGGCCAAGTTCAAAGGTCAGGCGATTATTGTCATCATTCTTACTCTCCATCGTGTCTTCTTTCTTAGTATAGCAGCAGAGCGGGCCTGGGCTGACCATTGTTTTGCTCTGTTGGATTAATGATTATTTCCAAATTTTTATGTCTTAGGAAATTGAAACAGACGAAACGGCATCGAAGTCAGCCGAGTCTTCTAATGTGTCCTCTAGTGACTTGAATGAATTAATATCACATATCAGAGAGATAATGGCAAAGGGAATTAAGTCAAGCAAAGGTAGGATATGTTATACCGAACACCTTACTCAGGCCAATACGTCGTTTGGTTTTATGTCTGAAGTTCCAGTAGTCATAGTATCTGATTTATGTACTGGAGGTAACTTTGCCGAGTGAGGAGGAAACGAAAATCATGTTCCACCTCTTTTTATCTGCCCTTTTGTTTTGCTTTTTGGTTGTTGTTGTTTTAAAGGTCGATAATTTGATCAAGCTTAAGAGGCGTTAATTTCCTATGTAGGCCGTAACTCATAAGAGCACTGATGAAGTTATGATTAGATCACCATCGATCACTGACGGCTATGTAGGGTCTACTAATAGTCAATCCTGTGTCGCGGATTTTACTCAGGAGGGCGTCCATTTTCTCTCCACCAAAACACTCAACCAGCTCACGAGATGCGAGTTACATTCCTGGAAGACTAGATAACCTATGGATGGTCTGAAAATAAATTGAGCAAGCTTGATCCGCTAAATCGCTAAAAATATGGTGCTTAAAGTTGTGTATTTCACTATACGTCTTATTTGTTGTTGTTGTTGCCCTTTTCGTTGGACTTTATTTCTAACATATCATTCCCAGCGTTAATTTGTCATCATTATGTATCATTTTTGCTCAGATGTGCTGGCAATGTTTCCCCAAGAATTTGAAAAAGACGATGATTCGAACGGTCACATCGACTTCATCACCTCAGCTTCGGTGAGTTCGTTTTAACTATTTTAATTGACACGTACAACCCATTCATTGTGACTGGTTTTTTACCTAAACTTACTGTAAATTTAGAGATCTCAGACTCCAACTGAACGATGTGTAGACAATAGCTATGTAAAGTTCGAGAGATGCATTTTTTTTTATGATTGTGTCTCTTGGTTTGGTGATGACTAAGAATCTTCTCTATTGCTTATGTTGCAGAACCTTCGCGCTACCATGTATAGTATAGAAACTGCTGACAGGTTGAAAACCAAGAAAATTGCTGGTAAAATAGTACCTGCCATTGCTACCACTACTGCTGCTGTAGCTGGCTTGGTAAGTTTCAAAGCAGTGTAAGGAAAACAGAAGTGTTGCGTTAGCTGTAGATACGTAATGATTATTGTCGACGTTATAGGGGACTTAAAGATACTTTTAATTCGGTTTCAGGTCACTATCGAGCTTGTTAAGGTTGTTATGAAGAGTCCCGCCGAAGACTTCAAAAACTGCTTCATGAACCTTGCACTTCCTTATGTCATTTTCTCGCAACCAGGCCCCCCAGAGGTCACGGTCATCAGGTGTGTTGTCTAAAGGAGCTATAGTACTTTGATTCTTTTATATAGTATTTATCATTTTATTTGTCTCTTTAAGGATCAGTTATGGATTAAGTGTGTAGGTATGAGAATAAAAAGAAGGCTTGTCTTCAAAATAAGTTCCTATTTATTAAACAAATTATCCTTATAAGTACTATTGGAAATGTCTGTAGAGTGAGCAAACTGATGTTGAGGTGTTAAGGGTTTAATTAAATTGAAGTACGCGATAACAAATGCTGAAGTAGAAAATAACCCGAAAAGTTTAAAAAAAAACAAGAACAACCGGAAGGAGCAAGGATGGTTCAAGATAAATGATATTAACAAGGAGTGCACATTACGATCTGGAAAAAAAATAAGGCTCAAGTTTCCCAGACGTGCCAACGATAACGTTCTAATGTAATTCCTTTAGGAATGTTGTTTTAAGACTATAATTCTTCCTCATTGGGCTTCTTTGTGAGGTGTTTAGACGAGCATCATTTGCCAGATTTACATCGCTTTTCTGATACATTTTTTTTTGTTTTGTTTTGTTTTAAAGGGAAGGCCTGTCGTTTTCAAACTGGGACAAATGGGTGGTCCAAGGAACACAAGAATTTAAACTAAAAAACTTTGTGACATATTTCAAGGTAAGCGGCGTGGTAAGTTACGAACAAAGGCGGGAACTTACAGTCTTATGGATAGAACAATTTTCAATTGATTGTCGATCGTAATCCGGGACTGCTTTGGTTTTCCTGTACTTCGTTCGGTGATTGGTCCAGAAACTCGCACCACTTTCTCAACCAATCAGATTCAAACCTAAAACCAACCGCGACTTAGTCACCCGCGTTTTCCCGCGCTTTAGAAGTTTGCTTGTTTTTACTTCGAGTTCTCATTGGCTCCTCGTGATATTTTGTTTTCTCTGATTGGCTGGTATGATTGCTTTGGTTCTGGTTTTACGACACTCAATCGAAAAGCTCTCTAATGCACTCGCGTCTTACTAGCATTTTGGATACATGCAAAGTTGTCTTGTGTTTTTGATTCATCCCTTTTACTTCACAAAGAGGGGTGTGAAAGGCACGCTGGAACCTCCATTGCCCACGTCTCTTCGGAATTTTCTCGGTAGGACTGCAAAGTGTCAAAGTGGCTTGGGATTAAAGCGTTATCCGTGTTTCTAGTGTATTGCCGAGATACCCTAAGAAATGTAATAGCATCCTTATAAAGCTCTGTCTGTAATTTTCTTCTCTTTAGGATAAATATGGATTTGTTGTATCCATTGTTGTACACGGCGTTAAGATTATATACGTCCCAATGTTACCTGGACACTCTAAACGATTAGAACAGAAGTAAGTATAGTGTAAGTAACGACATGATTTCGAGTGCAATTTAATGTTAATAACCACGAGTAATTTTTTCAAAGACGACGAAATTGTACAACCCCGATAAACGCTGAGTGGTCCCTAACAGTGGAAAAAAATATTCTTCAAACAACGTGGTTACAGGGAAATCTTGAAATGTTTTAATGGCCTACTGAAAACCGCGGCCTAAAAAGGATTTCCATCAAATAGAGGTTCCCGTGTGTCTTCAAATTTCCAGTTTATGGACCCTAATTGATTATTCCTTTTCGCTTTTTGTTGTCAACTTTCGTAATGCGTCTTTCCTAAACAGAATGACCAAATTGATTAAGGCACCTAACAAAGCCTACGTGGACCTCACCGTGTCGTTTGAGGGTGACGGCGATGATGATCTACCCGGGCCCCCTGTGAGGTACTATTTTGGTTCCTAAAAGAGGGGCCTTAAAATTACAACATTGGAAACTTGATACAATAATCCTGGAGCGGCTTCAATGTAAAGTCCACTACTCAATTCGTCATAATATATTCCAAATGATATCACTAATTTTAAATGTTTAATAGTAGGAAAGGAAACACTCGCGTCAGGATTTGAATTTGTACCTCATTCGGTTGATATTCAAATTTGTGGACTGGTCTAGTAGCATTATATTTTATTAAAAGTTGTAAGATTAATTAGAATTTGAAGAATTTAGGTTTTATTTACCTCCATGTTGCTGACAGGTAGATGAGAGATTTGTACTTATAAATTCAAAACATTTTGCCCATTTCACCCTGAAATCATGTATTGTATCTTTGTGGTATTGCGTGATTGTTTCAATCAACCTGTCTCCACTGTTACAAGATAATCTGGTTTCATCAACTGAGTTGATAATATAATTTAGCCAGCGTGAAGAGTTTCCAAGTGGAAAGTTCCAGCGTTAGCCTTTCGTCAGAGCAACGACTAAGGGCTACCCCTGGAAACGTAAGCCTTAGAAATTCTCTACGGTGGCCAAGGTACAATATCAATTCAGTTGATTAAAACCGAATTATACAGCTTCTTTAGAAACTTACTCCCTGTCTCCCTCGTTAACAGACAGCGAAAGAACGAACATTTTCTTTTTTGTAAGTTCATACATTCCCTAAGTTTAGTATAGATTTATTGTAGTTATTTTATAAAATCACAACAAACTGTTGTTCTGCCCATATCTACTAGAACCAAAGCAACGACTTAAATAATTTAATATTTAATTTAAAACGACTTTGCTTGACTGAAGAATCGTATCTGACAAGTTACAAACGAGTGACTACCTCCACTCGCATGATTACACTTCACATTCGACTTTAACAATTTATATACTAGCGTATCTCCTAACTATGCATTTATATTGAAAGCTGAAAGCTGTTGGTTGTGGTATGAACTTTATTCTTACAAGGCTTGTGCAAGTAGATACAAAAACGATGCCAGGTAAACTGATATGAATTCGACGGCTCAAATCTGCTCGACTACGATAGCAACAAAAGTAGATTCACAACGTTACCAAGACTCGGCCCGAGGCCTCTTCAACTGGTTGATTTGTGTTTATCAAGATAACAATTGACCATCATTTATACATTTATATGTAACGTTGGTGTATTGATACAATCCCGAGTCAGTGTGCCATCAAACGCACTTTATCATATCCAACGATTGAATCCCAACTTTTACTTTTGGTCGAGTATTTAAGCACAAACACCGTGCTGGGACATAAATCTTTTAAAAGTTCAAATGGTACAGAGCCTATATTTTTCATTGTATCTGTAGCACATCAGTATCTCTACAATGCAACTGTCGCTTTGGAATTGCCGAAAATCGATTCTTGAACAAAAAGCGCAAGAACGGACACCTCGAGAAATATGATGGCGGACACCATATTCCAGGTGACAATGATTCCCATAATGTCAAAACCAATATTGGGTAGAACGTTCTGAAGATAAGAGATGTATTTCTCGAAATTAAACTTAGGTTTCTTGACGTTGTGTTTAAGTTTTCCGACAGCTCTTGCGGCTCCTCGAAGAACCATATCCAAAACCTCGCGTCGGGATCTCTTCGGAGTTTCACTGCCGTCGGGTTCCTTCGGTTTAAGCTGGTCGTCGTCCGAATGGCTGTTATTTTGTAGCCGATCGTCCTCGGAGAGTTCCGGATCACTTACAGTGACCTGCGGACGAAGGAGAGATTCTCCGACGTAGCTCTGCTTAGTTGATATCTCTTCCACTCCAGACTTGACTTCACTAGCCAGAGGGTTAGAATTCGTCTTCTTGAGTGGGAGGAGGTTCTCTTTGCGAGCGGTTTTCTTTGCGCTGTGTACTCTTCTCCACAGACTTCGCCCTCGCTTTTGACCCAGCTTTTCTTTTTGTCTCGGAGCGTCACGCTCGTTTTCTTCCTCTTCGGAACTGCTTTCGGGTCTCTCGGCCCAGGCTTTCACCACCACCGCGAGATACCTAGAAAAACATCCCAACAAAATTCAATTGAAATCAAATCCCGAGTAACTTGTTGCAAAAATGATTTAGGAATCCCATTTCGGCTCAGTTACGCCTTGTTCAACAAAGCCATTTAGCTCAGCTTATTTCACCCTCACCGCACACCTTGCTCGTAATTAGGCTTCTTAAGGCTTCCTAAGCAATTCAACGATCTATACTTTTAAAGGCAGACAAGCTTTGCAGAAATAATGGTATTTCTCTCTCCAACCCTCCTCTGCTTAAAAAATCCAGTGTGGCAGCCAGATAATTCACGAAGTGGCCTACACGAAGTGTATACAGCGACTGTATTTCCCTAACTCTTACTAAACTGTTTTGCATACCATGAGTATTGTTTTGTTACCCAAGCAGCCATGCACAGAGGGTAGACAGCGACGACACTGGGAAGCAACGCATAGAAAGCGAACACTATGTGTCGCTGCTTGTACAAAAACAGAAATGCATTCACTGCAAGGGATGCGATGCTGTACACCAAAAGAACAGCCAGCGTAACCTGCGGGGCAAGAGAGAAATTCAACAAGTTATTCTTAAGTCTATAAAAATTGCTTATATTTCCTTACTAATGCAGTCGGCCCATTCTCAAGGAAGACGCCACATTTCGCGAAAAAAGCGACTTAATATGATGGTGGTGCCCCGTGCTGTACTTAGAGTGCAAGGAAGTAATTGTCAATAAAAAGTTTTAAATCAAAGTAATAAAACAATTTAACATGCCGCCAATTTCCAGTTGAACACCCCCTCCCCTTTGGAAAATCTTTCTCACGTTTTATACTTTGGTAACAGCCACAGTTTTTATATAATAGTTATGTTCAACAGTGTGTGGGAACCTGGTGCATTTGTTTCCCAGGGCCTTGACTAAGCAGCATGAATTTCGTAAATACAATAGATTGGGAATTGCAAGGAGCTTTACCTGTCAGACAACAACACATGGCAAACACGCCAATCACTTACACTAGCCTTGTGAGCACCATCTCGCACTGATATTTAATGAATTTTCAGGTACCGAAACTTATCTTTTGGCTTTGCTTTACTACGCTCTGTCATTTGTTATGGACACTTGTAACACTATGCCAACCAATCAAATGTAACACAAAACCCATTGCAACTTGGTCATTCCGCTTTTTTGCATTTTTCAGGCCCTGGTTAAGTCCTGTGTTGTTAGTTTATTCTTGGAGTTCTCAACAGGTTCTTGTGATATGATATATGTGGTCTGATTGTACGTGAGACAACAACAGTGTTAGTTTTACGAAACACTTTCAATGGGTTTTCTATCTTACCCTGCACGCAGACGCAGATTTTCTCACAAATCTTCCCCTCTCTGAGAACGATACTACTCCTTGTCTGAATGTGATTGGTGAGTCCCTGTCGACCAGGTGCTTGGTTATCTCCTCTAAGGGTTAAAAGAGATAAAGTCTGTCGCTGCATGTCAAAAACGCTGACGAGGTAAAGTTCTTCCCAGGAACAACAGCGCATAACACTTCATATTAAATTGTTCCCATCAGAAATAGAGAACTAAACTTGTTCTAAGTTTATGTTCAGAGATAAGTTATTGTTGAGTTTAAAAAGAAAAATAATCACCGTACATAGAGGATGACAATTCACTTTTCTGCCTAGATCCAGTCTCGAGGTAAATTCTGCCGCTTAGTACTTTGTGCGCGCGCCAAAATTGCGCAAAACATCCTTGGGTTGCGTATGTACGCGCAATAGGGAAGAGCTTTGGGTTCGAGATTGGACGAGGAATAACGTTTAGCATGGATGCGCAATGCAGTAAAGAAGAAAAACAAAGACTAAAGTACTACCCACCGTGAAACTCCGTCATAGAGTAACCAGTTATGTGCATGACACATACTGTGACGGTCCAAAACAGCGCTAAAGCAAACATGACGTAACAAGCTGCCAAGAATCGAACCACTTTCAGAGTGACGAGCACGTAGTCCGGGAACTCAGATCTCGCTCCGTCGAGGTTTATTTTGACGTCCAACGTCTCGTCAAAATGAAGGCAGGCGAAGATACCAGCTCCACAGAACAATCCAAATGCCAGGGTAAACAGCGGTATCCACTGTGAGAAAAATTACACAGAATTTCAGGCCGTTCACTCAATGACGCCTGTCTGTAGCTAAAGGTTCATGAATCACGAAACAACATTGTTTTTTCTTTCTTTTTTTTGGGGGGGGGGTGGGGGGCCAATAGTCTAACTTATCAAGGGTAAAGAGATAAAACTGAAGTAGTAGGGGGTTGGAAAGGTCAATGTGTCATCAATTTTGCCGATGATTGTTGGTCCTGACAATTTCACGTGTTTAATTTTCCTGAAGGGCATGAAAATTGTCCTCACATATTGGAAACACCGGCAAGTAATCATATAGCGGGCTGGCCGGTCACCAAGTTCTCGTTTTCACATAAGAAATCCTGGTTAACAGGCTACAATCCTCTCCGGTTGCCGGAATGAAACATAAAGGATCGCGTCATCATAAATCTCAGTACCCCAGGCTTAAATGATTCCTATGAGTAAATAGCAAGATTAGTCCCTCTAACAAGAAGATGCTATCGCTACATAACCCAGGAAGCTTTTTCTTTTATATATGTGAGAAAAAAAAGCTTTGAGGACCTGGTTGAGCTATTGATCACCTCAAGAGTCCAACACTTCAACAATGCCTACCTTAAAAACTTTCTGGCATTTTTCCATTGTTTTGGGATATCTCTTATCTTCCTCTAGCAGTGACAATCCCTTTTCAAGCCAAGGTAACATTTTTTTGTTGTTAAAAATTGTGCATATAAAACACACTAGAAAGAGACTCAAAGACACCGAAGCCCATCCGTACGTATAGACTTGACGGGCAGCAAGAAAGTCCAGTGTTGCATGAGCAAGGAGCATAGCGAGCCACAGAAAGCCACCAAGAACTCCTTGAATACGATAATTTTTATGCGAGTACCCCGTGAAGACAGACACGAGAAAAACAGGTCGTAAGACCTTGAACGTTCTAGTAGATGGCATATCAAAGTTTTCCGTGGTTCGGTGTGTTTCTATTGGTTGAGAGATGTTCCCTTTTCCTCTTTTACTGAACAGGAATCGAAACATGGCTGCCCAAATGCGATTCGATCTGCAGCAAAACGACATAAAAAAAAATTGTCAATTACCAAAACACATTTTTTCGGTGGAATTGTTTACGACAGGACTTGCGGTTGTGGAGAACTGAAAATGCTTAAGTTACTAAATTCGTGAAGACCCTGTGACAATTTAACCCCATTACCTTCCCCCCGCCCGCCGCTACTGTGCGGGCACCTTGAGCAATAAAAATTCAAGCCCGAGAGATATTGAGCGATGGTTCTGTTTGTTTAGAAAGCACCCCTACGGCTTCCAAAATTATACCCATTTCTTAAGATTAAGCCGATACCTTACTACTTCACATTTTAAAACTGCCTTTACTTTTTTTCCGTGATAAAAATAACTTTAGCGAGTTTTCACGACTGATTTATGCATCGAGACGACAAGAAATGCAAATATCTGCTAGCTCGTGGCGACTGTCAATAAAGTACATTTAAAAAGTAAATAGACAGGAACAAGTTTCTTCAGACAATTTATCAGTCGCTGACGAATTATTAGTTAGAATGATAACTCTACATATTAGAGAGAAAATAGATTAAAGAAACAGTTTAATAACGACATTATGAGTTAAATGAGCTTAATATTACAGATGCGGGTCGTGCGGTCATTAGTTGTGAAGGGGGAAATCATTTACTTGATTTGTAGAGGACACAAACCGAATCGTTTTGGATTGATATTTCGTTTTAACGGGCATCAATCTTTCGCCAGAAAGGTTAAGATTTTGATGAAATTAACCGCGATAGAAAGCTCATCGCGGTCAATGTTCAGTGAACCGAGGTGTTCAGATCGATATTGCTTCCAAAGTGTCAACGCTGGAAATACAATTTTAAGTTTGACTACAAAAGTATTACGCGAGCAAATATCGAAGTAAAAGTTGCTAATAGGAAAAGCCGATTCTTTGAAACAACTTATTTCACAGTCAACTGATACACGCAGTGTACAAGTTATGTAAATTTCGCAGGTAAATTTCAGTTCAAACTGACACCTTTACAAACTAAACATTGTGTTACCTTTCACCGGACGCTGCATTTTGGGGTCGGTGTTAGACTTTTGAACTTCAAAACAACCTCTGATTTTTAAATATTGATTATAACGACAATCGACGAACTGAATTCGATTGCTTTCGCTTCAAGCACAGGAACGTTTTGAAGTCATTCGTATAGCGAATTTGTATGACGTAGGTAGTTACTAATTGACACGAAACGTCAATCGCTAACTCAAACACCATTCCAAAATAGTTATGTCAACATTCATTTCCGATAAGATTGCCTTCATGCAAAAATATAATGCTATTATTATTACGTTTTGCCGTTAAAATTCGCTAAGAATTTGAACAGATCAAGGTTGTGTTTACTTTTTAAAATGCAGAATCACCGCGATTTTATTTCTGCCCGCTTCGCTTCGCGCTTGTTGAGCTCTAAAAGTATTTCATGCTCCCACTCGAGAAAACAAAACGAATGAATATGAAAACAATTAAAATCCGATGGACTGTCAAACATATCGAACGTCACTAGTCGAGAGAAAGATAAGCAGCAACTTACTTCCAAATAAGACCTTCAGCTCAGAGATCGGTCCAGACGTCGTCTGAGATCGGTCTAAAAGCGGTGATTGCGAGACTCCACGGAATTCCGTTAGTTTCACCGCCTTGTTTGGTGAATCAGGAAATGTTTGCTGGTATGCAGACGATTTGGCTCACTTACTTACACTGTCTTTAACTCTTCCAGGTCGTTCTGTTTTAGATGGACGAGAGTCTTCTCCACATACATTGCTAAAGACTCATGGCATTTCGTCCGTGATAACTAATCCAGAGTATCAACAAAAGATACATTTGCATAAATGAATTCATTTCGAAAATATCTTAAGACAAAGGAAGTCTTAAAACTAATTTCCGCCTGTGGCCTGTTGCCCCGCGGAGTTTCTTAGAAAGAGCCGACTCCAATCCGCCAATCCCTGACGTTTTTTTTTTTTTTTTTTTCAGTGGGGTACGATATTTTTCTGCTTTTTTTCAAAAAAGGAAACTATTTATCAGCCGAACTATATACTGCAAGCTTCCCTTTATTTTTTCCCTCCTATCAGTCGTGGGTACCGGAGTTATTCTGCAATCTCTATCCACAGGCCTGGATACCCTTCGGGGTTGAAGTGTCCTCTCAGAAACAGGCGATGCGCTAAACTCAATTTTTCCCCTTTATTTAGATTTTTTTTCTTTCGACTTCGCCGACAAGGAAGGACTGCGCTTAGTCTGGAAGAGACCGTTCATAAAGCGTGATCCAAGGGAACCCAAAAATGACTTCCCCACCCCTTCCCTCACGCTTGTTTGTTGGTCACGCTGGCCAGAATAGAAGAGGTGTTTCAAAGAGTGCATTGTTTTTCCCACTTGCACCATGGAGCCATCGCATATACACGCATGGCCATGAAATCAGTAGATCACTGTCAACTTATGCAGCGAAGGAATGCTGGGAAGTAAGGTAGATGACCGAGAGCGTTCTCGTATCACAGGGGTACGTCAGGTCGCCCCTGTCAATGAGAACAGTTTTTTTGACTCACGTTCAATAAGGCCACGATAGCACCTGACCTGAACCGAATTGTCACTAAGGGAAGCGTCCAGGGATTCCCGTGATCTATTTCTTTGCGTGCGACTCCTGCAGAGAGAGAGGGAGGGTTGGGGGGTTGGGAAACACTTATGAGACGCCCGGGTGAGGGTGTGCAGCCGGGGTAGACCTTTCATTAAGCGACGATATTCAAAAGGAAAAATCACCAGAGCTGCGGTATATCAATCTCCCTCTTGTCAATTCTAGATTATCCAGACAGAATGTCTGTTACAGTTTACACATATTTTACACGTTCAAGAGCCAACTAAGTAGTAGGCTCCTGATACGTTAGATTATCATATAAGCAGTGGATTTTCTGGAGTCGAGGTATTAAAAGGGAAGGAAAGTTATGCTGCCAGGTGATTGTGATCAACTGCCAACTAGCTGCCAATTCATTCAAATATTTCCGAGTTTACAACAACAAAAAAAAGCGTCACTGAACATTTTGATTTTTAATTCCTTTCTTATAGCAAAGTTCTCCTGACGCTAAGTCTGTATATGTTACTCAGTGGACACTATACAACCAGCAAATTGATTTTGCGGCCAACCACAAGGCTGGCTGCAATTACAGCTCTTTGATACTTGTTTTCCCATTCTTGCGGCAATCCACTTTCGAGGCCCGTCATGAATACGGTTTAAAGAGGATTAATAAATAAATCGTTGACGAGAAAATCACGCTATCCTATTTAATTCGCGTGATTTACTGATAGCATGCCATGGATTGAACAGAAAACACTTATTGATTGCAATGATATGTTAAATAAACAGGTTTACAAAATAATTCTTCCGTCAGCATCGCGTGATTTACTCATTGCGTGTCATGAGTTGCACCGCAATAGTTATTCGAGGAGCGGCAAAGGAAACAAAACTTGAATAAAGCAAGAATCAAATGTAACCAAGAAATATGAGAAAAGGTAACTGGTTTCCATCTTTCGTTTAACGATGTCAAGTTTCAAGGATGATTATAGCCTGCTTAGTTCTAATGTTTCTGCTTTGTTGAGTGAATCCACTTCTACTGTCATCACAAATATAATTGGTTCTGATTTTAGACCTGGATTGGCAAATTTTGTTTCTTTTTTTTTGACTTTTGATTATCTGCCAGACAAGTTATGGAATGAATAGACGGAGATTATGCAGACACAGTGCTAACATAATAGTTCAACTTTCCACACGATACATGTAAGGATAAACCATGCTAGAGATATCTGTCTTAAGAAGGTCAAACAACATTTTTACTGTATTTACTACCAACTTATGGAATTTTGGCGACTTAAAAGTCTATTCGGGACTCGGAAACTATTTTCAATATTGCCGCAACTCAGAGTTCCAACCATGTTTGCCAACCCTATGAGTTGATTAAAGATGAACTCTAAGCTAAAAAGCCGATTTGATTGATCTAAAATCAAAACTGATTTCTGTATCATGACCGCTGATATTGAAACTGAGTCCTAATATTTTTGCCTCATCAGAATTTCCGTCGGTAAACCAGATGAAACATTCTAAGTGCAGTCAATTCGATGGAAAATTGTAGGAATTTCCGGGAAAAAACAAAATCAACCCTGAGGGTTACCTCATTTGTTCGATTCTACAATCATGTCCACAGACATAAAAAAGATAAGCATTTTATTTTGTCAGACCAACTCGTTTACCCCTACGCCACTTAATACTACTAAGCAACATATCACTCCTATACTCATGTGACTTCAAATGCCACATTTGTACGACTTAGTGTTTGTTTTCAGGTAGAGATTCCAAAGTCACTACCTACTCGTTGTGAAAATTTGCACTTGGCAAAGGAACATTCCAACAAAACGTAACAAAATAACATAAAATCCTTCGGTTTCCTACTCTAACACCTAGCACGCTTTAAATTCCGCCACATCTGATTACGAAAAGATTAATTGAGATGGTCCTCTGACTGCACACTTTGCTCAACAAACCCAGATTCCTGGGGGACATTCGTGGCCACCATTCTGCAAGCTCTTGGTCTTTGAGTCCCCTGTTTCCGCCATATTTCCTCCAAGAGGGGCCTTGGGTGTCTTTCGCTGTTCAGTTGCATTAGAGGGTAATGCTGTCGGAGTAGACGCCTCGACTGAGCTCCCGCTTGTTGCTATGGTGGCTAATGTACCCAAAGAAGTCACCCCGTCCTGATCAGAGGCGTGCTCTCCGTTTTGTGAAACGCACGGTAAGAATCCGGGGGGACATTCCTTAACATCATAGGTGGACGGAAGTTTCTGATTAATGATACGAAAATTTTGTCCGAGCTCTGCTGTCAAGAGGATGACCATAATGGCGTTGAATAGAAACGTGTTCATTTTGAGATGATCTAAAGAAAAAAAAATTAATTAGTTTCATTTTTCAAAAGACAGGAAACATGTTTGATGTTTTCATCGCTCTACTGTCTTCTCAGTCTTGCGACGTGAGTGGAAAATAATAATTTATACTTCACATTTGACCTGAAAGAGTATCATTGGTTAATCGAGGCTTTTTGTGCAGAACAGGCGTTGAAGGGCTAATTAAGAACCATAAATAGAACAAGAAAGCAGAAAATAGAATTCCACCCTCTTTCTTCGCATTCATTTTCTAATTAAAGTTCCACGCGATATGGCGCATTTTATTCAAAACAAACACGAACAAATCATCGAAAACGAAATATTATGATGTTGTCTCCAAATCCTTGATACTAAATGATACACCACCATCAAAGATACGAAAACGACTGCGTGTTAAAGGGAAAGTTTTGCTGAAAATCCTGACTTGTCTTCTCTCCATTTACCACGAAACCAATTGATACTAACAGACGGATCATTAACTTAATTTCTGTTGAAGTAAATGAATACAAATCCCATACTTTATCAATAATTTCTTGTTATTTGGTTCTTTTTTAGCATTTAATACTCCTCGTCACAGGAAGTCGAAAATAATTCGATTTCTTCTAAGGCTCGACTTGTGCATAACAAAAATTATCACAGGTTACCGAATATCATCAGTTTGTAAAGTTCTCGAAGATTTGCACTTCTACGAAAGATTTCACTCCCACTTGATGAACAAGACTTTCTTTCTCTTTTTTTTTCCTTCTTCTCTAATTTAGTGAAAGCTTTTAAGTAACAATAGTTTTAAGCAGTGAGCACAACCTTAAAGGGAAAAATTCACCCTGCTGAAGCAATAGCAATTTACGTACGTACCTTTTTGGTGCCACGCAACAAATCCGTGCTTTATTTGCGACGATTTTCACGTAGCTCAAAGAGACTTCCTTTTCTTTCTCAACCTTGTCAACTGGTGAAACTTTACTCGAGGCACAGCCCTTATCGTGCAACTAAATTGCTACGTCTGAATTACTGAAATCCAACACTGAAACACTTTTTACACCTTTTTTTTTTATGAGGAATGATACCCTCGTGAGATCCTCAATTAAAACAATTCCCTTGAAATAGATCAGAAACCCTGGTTACCAGGCTACAAACCTCCCTGGTTGCCGGAATGAAACATGAAGGATCGCGTCATCATAGATCTCTGTGCCCCAGGCTGAAATGAGTAGAGGACAAAATTAGTCCCTCTTATACGAAGATGCTATCGCCTCTTAACCCAGGAAGCTTTTTCTCTTATATGTGTGAGAAAAAAGCTTTAAGGACCTGGTTGAGGCATTGATCAGCCTAAGAGTTCAAACAACTCCAACATTGCCAGCCTTAAAAACTTTCTGACATTTTTCTATCGTTTTGGGATATCTCTTATCTTCCTCCAGCAGTAACAATCCCTTTTTAAGCCAAGGTAACATTTTTTTGTTGGTAAAAACTGTGCATATAAAACACACTAGAAAGAGACTCAAAGACATCGAAGCCCATCCTTACGTTTAGACTTGACGGGCGGCAAGAAAGTCCAATGTTGCATGAGCAGGGAGCATAGCGAGCCACAGAAAGCCACAAAGAACTCCTTGAACACGATAATTTTGATGCGAGCACCCCGTGAAGACAGACACGAGAAAAACAGTAAGACCTTGAACGTTCTAGTAGATAGCATAACAAAGTTTTCCGTTATTCGGTGTATTTCTATTGGTTGAGAGATGTTACTTTTTCCCCTTTTACTGAGCAAGAATCGAAACATGGCTGCTCAAGTGGAATCTACTTCCTGTATAACGACATAAAAAGAAGTTATCAATTATAAAAACATACTTTTTTGTGGAGGGGTTTCCGACAGGACTTGCAGTCGTGGAACAGAATGCTAAAGTTAATAGCTTTTTATAGACCCTGTGACAACCGAATTGTCACTAAGAGATATCCTTGATTGCTTTCTTTGCGTGCTACTCCTGCAGAGGGGGGAGGGGGAGGGTAGGAAGGGAGTTGGGGATTGGGTAACACCAAAAGGACGCTCGGGTGAGTGCGTGCAGCTGGGGTCTTTGAGACCTTTTTATTATGCAATTATATTTAAGGGGGAAATCACCAGGGCTGCGGTAAATCAACCTCCCTCTTGTCAATTTTAGGATATCCAGACAGAATATTTATTACAGTCTATTTATATTTTAAACGTAAGATGTTCATACAAGGACTGGATTTTCTGGAGTAAAGGTATTACAAAGGGAAAAGAAAGTTATGATTGTCTGGTGATTGTGATCAACTGTCAACTAGCCGCCGATTCATTCAAGTATTTCAGAGTTTACAACAACAAAAAAAAAAAGAGTCACTGAACATTTTGATTTTTAATTCCTTTTGTATTGCAACGTTCTTCTGACGCTAAGTGAACACTTGCAGCCAACCATAAGGTTGGCTGCAAACACAACTACTTGATACTTGTTTTCCCAAATATTCTTGCGGCAATAAATCTACTTTGGTGGCCGATCATGAATATTGCTTAAAGAGGATTAATAAATAAATGGTTGAAATACGCTATCCTATTTAATTCGCGTGATTTACTGATAGCATGCCATGGATTGAACTGAAAACGCTTATTGATTGCAATAATACGTTAAATAGACAGGTGTACAAAATAATTCTTCCGGCAGCATCGCGTGATTTACCGATTGCGTGTCATGAGTTGCACCGCAATATTTATTCGAGGAGCGGCGAAGGAAACAGAAAATTGAATAAAGCAAGAACCAAATATAACCAAGAAATATGAGGAAAGGTCAACTGGTTTCCATCTTTCGTTCAACGAAGTCGAGTTCCAAGGATAATTTAGAGTCTGCTTAGTTCTAGTGTTTCTGCTTTCATTGTTGTTTTCAGACCCGAAATGGGAAATTTCGTTTCATTGTTTCTTTTTTTTTTTCAGGCTGATTTTCTCTGATGCCAGGTGTCTTTTGATTATCTGCCAGGTAAGACATGCAATGAATAAACGGAGATTGTGCAGACACAGCGTTAACGTAATAGTCCAAAATATAATAAAGTTCACATGGCAACCAGGTGGATAACCACACATTGTTTGACGCTACTCTGGTTTAAAGATTAAATGAATGTAACCGAGAAGTTACAATTCATAGACCCAACGTCTCGACACTCCTGTCTAGTGCCTTCATCAGGGGTGATCTAAACGCTGCAACAAGAGTTCCTTTTATACGCTCACTAATTAGCTGCCCTTTTTTCTAACGGGGTGTCAATAGGCGTCAGGAAGTAAGCTGCAATCATCACGATTTAAAGGAGCGTGGGCGGAGTTGATTTGCCAGGCTTCCAGACAAAGGCGTTGGTAGTAGCGCCGATTAGTGGTGATAATTTTAGACTTATCCCATCCAATTATTTGGTTGGTTAGGCACGTGTGCTCCGACAAAGACAAGTGTCTATCTCTCAGGAATGCCCGTTGTAACTCGACTCCCACACTTTACCTCAAGTTCTATAGATGTATTTCACTGATTCCATTTTCTCAACTCCTAGCTGTCACAATTGTATGTGAAACATTCCAATCAACTGAGTGATCGAAACTTAATTCTGAACTACAATAGATATTGGAGATTTAAAGAAATGAATATATTAATACTACTTCCAGTTACTATTAATAACCACACGCCGAATGTCGTTAATAAATTGTCAAACGTTTGTGCGCGAACACAACTTCTGCAACTAGATGAAACAGAACTCAGAACGCAAAATGAGCAAATAAACACACGCAACATCACTAAATATTGCTAAGAAACATATTACTCCTCCACCCATGTGACTTCAAATGAATGCCACATTTTTACGACCAAGTGTCCAAAGAGATTCTAAAGCCGCAACCTACTTGTTGTGAAATTTGCACTTGGAAAAGGAATATTCGAACAAAACGTAACAAAATAAAAAAAAATCCTTCGGTTTCCTACTCTAACAAATGACACGCCTTAAATTCTGCCACATCTGATTACGAAAAGGTTAGTTGTGATGGTCCTCTGACTGCACACTTTGCTCAACAAACCCAGACTCCTGGGGGACATTCGAAGCCACTATTCTGCAAGCTCTTGGTCTTTGAGTCCCCTGTTTCCGTTATATTTCCTCCTGAAGGGGCCTTGGGTGTCTTTTGTTGTTCAGTTGCATTAGAGGGTAATGCTGTCGGAGTAGACGCCTCGACTGAGCTCGCGCTTGTTGCTATGGTGGCTAATGCACCCGAAGGAGTCACCCCGACCTGATCAGGAGTGTGCTCTCCGTTTTGTGAAACGCACGGCAAGAATCCGGGGGGACATTCCTTAACATCATAGGTGGACGGAAGTTTCTGATTAATGATAGGAAAATTATGTCCAAGCTCTGTTATCAAGAGGATGACCATAACGGCGTTGAATAGAAACGTGTTCATTTTGAGATGATCTAAAGAAAAAAAAAATTAATTAGTTTTCATTTTTCAAAAGATAGGAAACATGTTTGATGTTTTCATCGCCCTACTGTCTTCTCAGTCTTGTGACGTGAGTGGAAAATAATAATGTATACTTCATATTTGACCTGAAAGAGTATCATTGGTTAATCGAGGCGTTTTGTGCAGAACAGGCGTTGAAGGGCTAATTAAGAACCATAAATAGAACAAGAAAGCGGAAAATAGAATTTCACCCTCTTTCTTCGCTTTCATTTTCTAATTAAAGTTCCTCGCCATGAGACGCATTTTATTCAATGCAGAAAGAAGCAATCGTCGAAAACGAAATATTATGATGTTATCTCCAAATCTTTCATACTAAATGATACACCACCATCAAATATACGAAAACGACTACGTGTCAAGAGAAAAGCAGAAAATCTTGACTTGTCTTTTCTCGATTCACCAGGAGACCGATTGATACTAATAGATCATCAACTTAATTTTTGTTGGAGTAAATGAATACAAACCCCATACTTTATCAATGATTTCTTGTCTTTTGGTTCTCTTTTAGCACTCATTACTTTTTGTCTCAGGAAGTCGAAAATAATTCGATTTCTTCCATGGCTCGACTTGCGTCTAACAAAATATCACAGGTTATCGAATCTCGTCAGTTTGTAAAGCTCCTGAAGATTTGCACTTCTAGGAAAGATTTCACTTGCAGTTGATGAACAAGATTTTCTTTCTTTTTTTCCTCCTTCTCTATTTCAGTGAAAGCTTTTAACTGACAATAGTTTTAAGCAGCGAGCACAACCTTAAAGGGAAAAATTCATACCTTGGTGCCACGCAACAAATCCGTTCTTTATTTGCGACGATTTTCACAAAGCTCAAAGAAACTTCCTTTTCTTTCTCAACCCTGTCAGCTGATGAAACTTTATTCGGGATACAGCCCTTATCGTGCAAGTAAATCGCAACGTCTGCCTTGAACCTTTGAAATCCTACACTGAACATCTTTTACACTTTTTTTTATGAAGAATGATGACCCCTTTGAGATCCTCCAATTAAATAATTCCCTTGAAATAGATCAGAAACCATGGTTGCCGGGCTACAACGCTCCCCAGTTGCCGGAATGAAACAAAAAAGAATCGCATACCCCTTGCTAAAATGAGTAGATGGTAAAATTAGTCCCTCTAACACGAAGATGTTATCGCCACCTAACCCAGGAAACTTTTTCTCTTAAATGTGTGAGGAAAGAAGGACGTGCTTGAGCCATTGATCAGCCCAAGAGTTCGTCACTTCAACATTGCCTACCTTAAGAACTTTCTGGCATTTTTCCATCGTTTTCGAATATCTCTTTTCTTCCTCTAGCAGCGACAATCCCTTTTCAAGCCAAGTAGATGGCATATCAAAGTTTTCCGTGGTTCGGTGTGTTTTTGTTGGTTGAGAGATGTTCCCTTTTCCTCTTTTACTGAACACGAATCGAAACATGGCTGCCCAAGTGGATTATATTTCCTGCATAACGACATAAAAGAAATGATCAATTATAAAAACAAACTTTTTCGAAGAGGGTTTCCGACAGGATCTACAGTTGTGGAACAGAATGCCTAAGTTACTAGCTTCGTAAAGACCCTGTGTGGATTCCCATACTTGCTTTCTTTGCATGCGACTCCTGCAAAAGGGGGGTTGAGGATTGGGTAACACCTAAAGGACGCTCGGATGAGGGTGTGCCGCCGGGGTCTTTGAGACCTTTCATTATACGACGTTATTCAAGGGGAAAACTCACCAGAGTTGCGGTAAATCAGCCTCCCTCTTATTAATTCTAGGATATCCAGACAGAATATTTATTACAGTTTACATATATATATAACTGTAAGGTGATTGTGATCAATTGTCAACTAGCCGCCGATTCATTCAAATATTTCAGAGTTTACTCATAGAAAGGAAAGTCACTGAACATTTTGATTTAAATTCCTTTTGTATTGTAACGTTCTTCTGACGCTAAGTGAACACTTGCAGCCATCTGGCTGCAAACACAACTCCTTGATACTTGTTTTCCCAATTATTATTGCGGCAATAAATCTCCTTTCGTGGCCCATCATGAGTACTGTTATAAGAGGATTACGATTGGATTGGGAAATCACGCTATCCTATCTAATTCACGTGATTTACTGATACCATGCCATGGATTGAACAGAAAACGCTTATTGATTACAATAATACGTTAAATAAACAGATATATAAAATAATTCTTCCGTCGGCATCGCGTGATTTACTTATTGCGTGCCATGAGTTGCACTGCAATTGTTATTCGAGGAGCGGCGAAGAAGACAAAAAATTAAGTATGAAGTAAGAATCAAATATAAGAAAAGAAATATGAGAAAAAGTAACTTGTTTCCATCTTTCGTTCAACGATGTCAAGTTTCAAGGATGATTTAGAGTCTGCTCATTTCTTTGTGAGTTAATCCACTTTTAATGTCCTCAGACATATGACTCGTTGCCATTTTAGACCTGGAATGGGAAGTCTTGCTTTCCGGCTGATTTTCTTTGATGTCAGGTGTCTTTTGATTATCTGCCAGGTAAGACATGCAATGAATAAACGGAGATTGTGCAGCTACAGCGCTAAAGTTCACATGGCGACCAGGTGGACAATCAGACATTGTTTGATGCTACTCTGGTTTAAAGATATAATGAATGTAACCGAGAAGTTACAATTCCGGCATAGACCCAAAGTTTCGACACTACTGTCTAGAGCCTTCATCAGGGGTGATCTAAACGCTACAACAAGAGGTCCTTTCTAATTTTATAATTTTAGACTTATCCCACCTAATTGTATGGCTGGTTAGGCATGTGTGTTCTGATGAAGCTGAATTTTTTTTTGTAAAAGAAGACCACTTTTTGATGCTCTTTCAAACGTGTACCAAACTGACGTTTGGTCTGTCCGATGTACTCGTTATCACAGTCATTACAAGGAATAGAATAAATAGCGTCGGTTCGTTGTTCTTTCGTGACAGGATCCTTAGGTTTGACAAAAGTATACCCCAAATTCTGAAAAGGCTCTTGAGCAACTTTAACGTTGTGGCTTTTCAAAATTCTCCCGATGGGTTCCGTAACACCTTGAATGTAGGGAATAACAGCAAAACCAGTAGCTGGTTCCCTCTTATCAGGAGTGCTACTAGTTGTAACTGGTTTTCGGCAGTTACGGAGAAAAGTTTTGGCATAGCCATTCGCCTTTAGGACATTAGAAACATCTTTCCTCTCCTCAGCCTTCGAATCGAGTGAAGATGATAGACAGTCAGCTCTCCTGATTAAAGTTTTGGCTACAGACTTTTTATGGCAAATAGGGTGTTGAGAATCGAAAGCGAGATATTTGTCGATGTGGGTAGGTTTACGATAGACACTTGTCCCTAAATTCCCCTGTTTCCCTCTGTACACATTTAGATAAAAAAGGGGAAAATGTCTATTCTTTTTCACGCTCAAGGGTGAATTGGATAGACGGCTCTACTGTATTTAAGTGCGATAAGAAGGCATTCCGCTTCATTTCCGGATATCATCGACATATCGTTTCCAAATTGATCTCAAATCAGACTGATCTCCGTATTATGACCGCTGATATTGAAACTGAGTCCTGCTGTTTTTGCCTCACTAGAATTTCAGTGGGTAAAACAGATGAAACGTCCTACGTCTGGTCAATCCGATGGCAAAATGTGGGAATTTTCGGAAAAAAACAAGATCAACTTTTGGGGTGGCCTCATTTGTTCGATTCTAAATTCATGTTCACAGGCATAAAAAGGATAAGCATTTTATTTTTTCAGACCAATTCGTCTACAACAAGATAATATATTCAGACACTACCAAAGATAACATCCAGTAAAGTCACGGAGACCTTGTTTAACAACGTCGGCGTCTCGATTTTGAAAATCACTTTGCTTTGACAATTATCGCATTGTTTCACTAAACTAGAACTGTTTTATTATTAAGAGAATCTTCGAATAAGCCATACTTTGGAAATGTTTCTCCTAATTTGAATTGCACCTTTGGAGTTGAGCTTTATGCTTCGTTGGCTCCTTAGGAACGGGATTGGCCAAGAAAAATGAAGATGAAATCTATATTATGTTACGTAATAGTCATCGCGAGGTCACCTTGCGCGTTACTCGCGCGCCTTCTCTCACAAGCGCCCGTTGCAACTCGCCCGTTTTACCTCAAGATCTACAGAAGTATTTCACTTATCCACTTTCTCAACTCCTAGCTGTCACAATTGTATGTGAAACATTCCAGTCAACTAAGTGGTTGAAACTTAATTGAGAGATTGCAAAAAAAAAAAATAATAATAAATAAATAAATACTGCTGCCACATACTATTAATTACCACATGCCTAATGTCGCTAATAAATTGTCAAAAGTTTGCGCGCGAACACAACTTCTGCAACGGGATAAAACAGAACTCAGAAAACACATGAACAAATAGATACGTGCAACACCTCTTAATACTACTAAGAAATATATCACTCCTCTACTCATGTGACTTCAAATGAATGACACATTTTTACGACCAAAGCCGTTACCTACTCGTTGCGAAAATTCGCATCTGGCAAACGAGCATTCCAACAACAAGTAACAAAATAACATGAAGTCCTTCGGTTTCCTACTCTTACAAATAACACGCCTTTAATTCCACCACATCTGATTACGAAAAGGTTAGTTGCGATGGTCCTCTGACTGCACACTTTGCTCAACAAACCCAGACTCCTGGGGGACATAAGTGGTTACCATGCTGCAAGCTCTTGGTCTCTGAGTTCCCTGTTTCTCCCATACTTCCTACTGAAGGGGCCTCGGGTGTCTTTTGCTGTTCAGTTGTATTAGAAGGTAATCCTGTCAGGGTAGATGCCTCGACTGAACTTGCATCAGAAACCTTCCCTTTGTTTTCTGAAACGCACGGCAAGAATCCGGGGGGACATTCTGTATCATCATAGGTGGACGGAAGTTTCTGATTAATGATAGGAAAATTTTGTCCGAGCTTTGCTGTCAAGAGGATGACCATAACGGCGTTGAATAGAAACGTGTTCATTTTGAGATGATCTAAAGAGAAAAAAATGTTAATTAGTTTTCGTTTTTCAAAAGAAAGGAAACAAGATGTGTGATGTTTTCATCGCCCTTTTGTCTTGTCAGCCTTGTGACGTGAGTGGAAAATGACACTTTATACTTCACATTTGACCTCAAAGAGTATCATTGGTTAATCGAAGCCTTTTTGTGCAGGACAGGCATTGAATTTTCTAAGTCGTAGGAAAAACTGTCCTGATGTGGCCAGCTGTGAACTAATAACCCCTGGTCTCCTTCCGAAAAAAAAGATCTTTTATTTCAGCGCGTGTAAGTCATGTGATTAGTGGGGGTGAAGAGAACTAGGAAGCGATTGCGAAACCTTAATCCTTGTGCAAATGCATGAAATATCCGGCATATAATTCTAGTAAAATTTTTCATGTTCCTCTAATCAGTAAGACGGCTCTAATTTTGTGGAAAGATAAAGAAGACAATTGTGTGGAGTAGGTTGAAAACAGAAAAAAACATCGAATGAAAGGGCTAATTGAAAACCACAAATATGACAAGAAAGTGAAAGTAGAATTTCACCCTCTTTCCTCGCTTTAATTTTCTAATAAAAGTTCCGCGCGATGTGATGCATTTTATTTACTACAGAAACGAAGAAATCATCGAAAACGAAATATCTTGATGTTGTCTCTAAATCCTTGATACTAAATGATACACCACCATCAAAGATACGAAAATGACTGCGTGTTAAGAGGAAAGTTATGCTGAAAATCTTGACTTGTCTTTTCTCGATTCACCAGGAGACCAATTGATACTAACAGACGGATCATCAACTTTATTTCTGTTGGAGAAAAACCCCATACTTTATCAATAATTTCTTGTCTTTTGAATCTTTTTCAGCATTCATTACTCTTCGTCACAAGAAGTCGAAAGTAATTCGATTTCTTCCATGGCTCGACTTGCGTGTAACAAAAATTATCACAAGTTACCGAAGGTCATCAGTTTGTAAAGCTCTTGAAGATTTGCTCTTCTAAGAAAGATTCCACTTGCAGTTGATGAACAAGATTTTCTTTCTTTTTTTCCTTCTTCTCTATCTCAGTGAAAGCTTTTAACTGATAATAGTTTTAGGCAACGAGCACAACCTTAAACTGGGAAAAACTAACCCTGCTGCAGCAAAAGCAGTTCGCCTACGTACCTTTTGGGTGCCACGCAGCAAATCCGTGCTTTATTCCCGAAAATTTTCACAAAGCTCAATAAGCTCCCTTCTCTTGCTCAACCCTGCTAGCTGGTGAAACTTTACTCGGGATACAGCCCTTGTCATGCAACTAAATTGCAACGCCTGCCTTGAACCACTGAAACCCTACACTGAGCACCTTTTAACACTTTTTTAATGAGGAATGATGCCCCCCGTGAGATCCTCCATTAAAACAACTCCCTTGAAATAGATACAGAAGATGTGATAATAGTTTTGATTTTTGTCTGGCCTTTTGACGCGATGTCTACTTCAGGAAGCACGTATACAGAAAAGAACTTCAGTAAAACTTGAGGAAAAGAGAGTATTGATGAACGGGTGATCTTTGTTAGATTTCAGGATACTGTTTATTACTTGGGTTAAATTTTCTCTGTATGCTCGTGAATCAAGGCAAAAATCGATTCTAAGTCACATGTATAGGCGAGATGGCACGTGTTTAGATGTCTTGTCCGTGTAAGAGGAAATCATTGAAGAAGGTGACGAGCGCTGACTTGAAAGCGTCCAAGTCAGTACCGTGACTTCGAAAAGGATTTACCTCACATGTATAGGCGGGTTAGCACGTGTTTAGGTGGCTTGTTCGTGTGCGGAGAAATGATTTAAGAAAGTGACGAGCGTTGACTTGAAAAAGGTCCAAGTCACTACCGTGACTATGAAGAATATTTACCTCACGATGTATATCAGGACTGATCCTTGAACATTTTCATCCGTTTAAGATAGAAACTGCTCGATATCAATTAGCCGCGGTAGACAAACAGGAAAGAGTCAGAGAGAGACCAAAAGGGGACAAGTATAAATCACAGTAGAGAAAGAAAGTAGTGTAAACATATTTTAGCTAAATTTTTCACGAAATATTAACCCTGGAATAGCTCCCTAAACTTTGTGATCCATCTTGGCATCGCTGAAGGACGTTTCACTTGAGAGCAAGTTTTCAAATCGCTAACTTGGCTACTATTGAAAGCAAACCGGGTTTTTCTTATGTCAGTTACCGTAGCCCTCCAGTGATTTATTTCTTTCTTTTCATCAAAATACCAATCCATCCACACAATCGACCTTTAACGAGAGATGCCATTCGAATGGTATGGACTCAAAACAGTTGCAATCATAATAAAATGCTCCTTTGTAAAAGCGTAAAACATGAACTTAACCTAAGGCGTTTGTTCAAAGCCTCTCGAGTCCTTTTTGACCAGAACTTATCAGAGCCAAAGAAAATTGAAATAACAGTTGCAGATATTTTGAGGTCCTCTTTAAAATGCTGCACAGTCGCGTGACTATGTTCCCAAACCTGGCACAGTGTCATGGCTAAACCCATTAAGAAATATTTCACAGAAGACACTGAGCAAGTGAATCACCACTATTCACTTCGTATCGCATTACAAACAAGATTCGCACTTGTATAGGGAGCTAAAAAAACAGCTATGAATGAGACCGTTTTCCTTTCCAGCTGTTATTTGGCAAGCGGATTCAACTTCCTTGCACGCCCCTCGCTTGAAAAATGTGATAAAAAAAAAAACTATGTTTGTTCTGCAGGATACTTGCTGACGGTCATTCAGTGCTGTCATGTCCACTGGTGACTGTCAGACAGAGGCAAGTTTAACTACAGTCTCACTTCCCCAACTGTCTCAACACGCTTGTTCGTTAACCGTTTCACTCCTGGATCTCATTAATATAGCAATTCTCCTTTCTGTCTGCTCTGAAATTGTTATGATAGCAGTTTGGAGAATTTGGTATTTGATGAACTTAAAATCCCCTAATTGATATTGTTCTTTAGTTTCATCACTTATCTGCTTGATATCGTACTGTATTGTTGGGAGAACCTCTGTTTTAGTCATGCGTGGAAATTATAAGATTAAGTGGCAAGAGGATTGTTTTACTAATCCTTGATCAGGAGTCAGGTAAAATAGCAATCATATCTGAAAATAACAGCTTGAAAGTCATGATTGTTGAATTAAGGAAGACTGCTGTTAAAAGATAAAACAACAACAACAATATAGGAAATTTTGGTGAAACTTGAAGGAGAGAAGATGCTTGATTTATTCCCAACACTGTGACGATCTGACACTCAAGCTGAGGGTTTCACTAGAATTCGCGTAAGTCCCTCTAAGACATACGTGAGCGTGCTGTTTGTATAGGTAATAAAATGATTTCGCCGAGTGCAATTTGGTGTCAATAAGTACCAGTAAATGCCCATTAAACCAACTGAATGAGAAATTATGTTGTTAGTTTTTAATAATTTACATGAAAAACATGTAGGAAGGAAACGCCCGAGTTGAAATTCCGGCTACGTTTTTCCTTTCGTTCGGTCGCAAATCGCAGTCAAGTCCTCATCACGCATGTGCAAGCTTTTGGCTCTGACGCATGCAGGACGTTTGACTAATGAGCACATGGCATGGCTCAGACAATGCCAGCTTTTCAGATAATTGTTTTTCCAAAGACAATCATTCTCAAAGCGTGTTGAAAGTTTGCCATAGTCCATTAGACAATAATTGCCATAGACAATTACAAACGCAAGGATCCGATTACTGGCAACTCATTCATTTTTCATGAATATTATTACAAAGGTTAAAAGGCATGAATAGATCGTGATAAAAGACACCAGCTGCTCAGACAATTTTTTTTCTATAGACAATCATTCCCCTAGTGGGATAAAAGATTGCCATAGTCTATTTGGTCATGTTTTTACAAAGCTTATGATTAATGGTTTCAAACTATCCGCACGACCCTTTGCGTGAGGGATCCGAGCCCAAAACATTTTCTGGGAAAACGAGGAAAGTGTTGTTCGCTTCTTCCTGTTGGGAAATATCCATCGACAAGGAAAGTATCTCTTGATATCATTTACCAATTAAAGAGAGAAAACCGAATAGAATCAGAGACAGAGCATCTCAGTAAATACTTTAGAATTCAATTAAAGGGTTCTCTTTTGTGCTGGAAAAGCAACATTTTATCTGGACATGTTTGTCCGTAAAAGAAAACTTTGAATTGTCCAGTTTTGCACCCGAAGACCTGTGCTGAAATTTCGCCGAAAACATTAAAGGGCCTCTCTCAGCAACTTGCCAACATAATAAGAATCTAACTGCCAATTTTTTTAGGATCGAGTTTATTTCATGCATATTATTACAAAGGTTAAAAGGCATAAACAGATCGTGATAAAAGACACAGGCTGCTTAAACGATTGTTTTTTATGGACAATCATTCTCAAAGCGTGCCAAAAGTTTGCCATGTTTGGTCATGTTTTAAAAAAGCTTATAATTAATGGTTTCGAATTATTCGCACGACCCATTGCGTGAAGGATCCGAGCCCAAAAAATTTTCTGAGAAAACGAGGAAATTGTTGTAATATTCTTCTCGAGTATTCTTCTTGAGACCATTCGCGACCATTACGCGATGACAATTTCACAATAAACCTAACGCAAGGAAAGTCTATCTATATTTAAAAACATATTTCGTGGTAATTCTAACAAAAAATTACTCTTCTCTCGTATCAACATCATCATTAGTTATTTGTGATAAAACTGCGGTGAAAAAGCATTGATCTTTCTCCAAAATCGTATTTTTAGACGTCGAAACAACCTTTCGCTACATATTCCCTTCTAGCGAGTTGTAACGTTTGCTCGGTGGCGGTCCCAGAAATCTTTGCGCAAACACAAGAATCCGATTACTGGCAACTCGTTCCTTTTTCATGCATTTTATTACAAAGGTTGAAAGGCATGAACAGATCGTGATAAAAGAAACCAGCTGCTCTAACAATAGTTTTTCATAGACACTTCTTCTCAAAGC